GGGGAGCACCTGCATTTTCCCCTCACAGAGGAAAATGTGAAATTGACAGGTAGGAATGAGAGAATGTATCCAGTGCAGCTTTGTAATTAACAAAGATTGGCTTTATTTCTCTGGGCTCATCTCTCCTGCCTTCTTCCCTTGGCCCTCCTCCCTCAAAACGTCCCAGCTGCCAATGGAAGAAGCCCAACTATTCTCTAATTGAACCAGAGGATTTTGGAAGGTCAGTGCAAGAAACCACTCTGGTGCTCCAAGGACAAGGTGTGTTTTTTATGGAGACAATTATGTGCTTCCCAGGTGATTTTATCTAGAAGCCAAGAAAGACAGATTAGTGACAAGAAAAACGATTCTGTTCTGTCTCTGTTGTATCTGCATAGTCTCCTTTCTCTTCCTGTCCACCGCGCTTAGACACAATGTTAATGGCAGCCAGTGCTTGGAAGACTGACGGCAATTAACACCATGCAAGGGAGAATAAACACTAAAAGGCCCTACATCACAGGAACAGCTTCTGGGAGAGGCTGCAGGGAGGAGACATGGGACTTTCTTGGTGGGGAGAAGTCCCTGGAGCCCAACAGCCTTCAGCACATGGGATGCTTTGGACACAAACATTTCAGCAGAGGGAGTCTCTGTTCCTCAGGGACCAGACCCCGTACTTTCTCAAGAGCAAATTACTGAAGGCCCCACTTTATCTGGTTCATTTCTAATAGCTTCAAACAGCACCAGTCCCTGGAGACTAAGCCATAATGACAGATGGCATGTGCACCTGTCATGATCTATTTTCCTCCGTCTTTCCTGACATTTTGAAAAGAATCTCCATCCTGTATTCTCCCTCTCTCAAAGAGCTCCCCTAGAGCTGTGACCAGAATTGAAGAAAAGAAACCATGTCCTTGATCCCTCCAGATCTAGAAAAGGTATATTTTTACAAATCATTGTTTTATCTTCTGTTTCTCAAAGTGTACAGATGGAGGCACTCAAGTCAATGACCCACAGGATCCCAGGACCTGATGACGCACACATCATCACAAAGGCACTGTACGAGAAAGAAGGATAAGCTCAAAGCAAGCTCTAAATACGGGAGCCCCAAACCATCAACAAGCCAAGGGCAGGGTATTTCCGTCCCAGCAGCATGGCTGCTTCCAGGGCTGTACCACCTTTGGCAAAAGTGAACATGCTTCAGAACCCGAGAGCCTCCACTCTAATTTTAGGAGGCCTTCCTGGCAGCCCCGATTAGAAGCGTCCCATTGAAATCCCTGCCAAATCGTCCACAAAACATCAGAGCAGTTGTATTTAAAAAATGGAATAAAAGCAGCAGTGACTTTTAGAAGCAAGGCGTTACTTTTAAGCAAAATTCTCTTCCTGCTGAGGGGAAGCTGAGGGAGATGCTGAGTCTCCCCAGGTAATTCTCAGTTTCCTGGGGAATAGGGCTCTAGGTGAGAGACTGGTCAGATCATTTTTCACCACTGAAGTCCAGGGAGGACAGAGGAAAGGGATCTAGCCCAACAGAGCTAGAACCTCTCAGACTCAAGTCATCATTTCTCAAGCCCTAGTCATTGTGTGTGTGTTTACCCAAACCATCTCCTTTGGCTTGAGATCCAACCCTGTGACATAGATGTCATTATTGTCAATTTATAGACAGGAAAATTAGGCCCTGACTATGGCATTTTATCTCTCTGGGCCTCAGGTAATTAGAAAGTAATAGATCCAAGTTTTATTGAGACTTTCAGTCTCCGACTAAATTGAACTCTGGCCAGCCTCTCCAACTTTAAAGGGCATTCTGCTACTATAAAGTTAATGGTAACTAATATAAGTTTAAGGGGCACCACAAGGCCGTGGTACTTTGAAAGGTAATCATTGGGCTACATCTGGTCTCCCTGGCAGTACTGTTGGAACAGACAAGAGAATTTGGCAGGATCTGGCGTGTGTGTCAGGATGTGGCATCCCCACTGCCTGTGTTTGCTCTCTGGCCTTCTTCCCTCTGCACAAGGCCAACCACTTTAAGGCGAGCAGCACAGCCTGGGAAGCCAGGGCCTGGCAACTGTCTGTTGAGCCGCTTCAGTCCAGTGAGGGAAGCAGGGGCATCAGGTGATGGGCTACTGAACAAGTGGGTCAGAAGGTCAGAAGGTCAGCAGGTCAACAGCACGTGGAGGATTGTCAGCTACTGAATGATACACACACTTGTGAAGTTAGGATCTGAACCATTCTGGATGTCACAAACATGAGCCATATTGTCATAACCATTGGATTCCCTCCTGATGCTCAGTGATCTGCAGTTTCATCAGCTTTGCATCAGTTAGGGAGTTGGATGGTAGAAAGAAGACTTGGGTTCTAGCTTCAGCTCTGCACTCGTTTGCTGTGCAACCTTAGGAAAGTCACTTTCCTCTCTGAGTCGCAGGATATTCCTCTAACTTAAAATTCAGAGGGTGCATAAAGGCCGTGTTCCTTTACTCTTGACATGTCTTTTTCCCTTTGAGTCAGAAGGAGGGAGTTCTCCTAAGTACTGCCCACACTAGTCACCTCTCAGTGATCTCTGACAAACAAAGCTAGCCCATGAGGCAGGTCATACAGTGCATTCCTTTTACAAACAAGGAAACTGAGGTCCAGAAAGACTTGATGAAGGTAAGAGATCTCCTAATTCCTGGCTTAATATGCTTTCCAAGGCACAATACATCACCCCCTTAATTCAAAGTGTGTTTTTGTTCCAGATAACTCAGGTAGGCAACTCTATCAGAGTTGCAGCTGTTGCCTAGAAGGAAATGAGTAAGTTTGGAAGCTGTTCTCACTCCTGTCAGTCAAGGTGCCTTGTATTGTACCATGGTAACAGGAGCCAGGACAGTGACTTTTCTCCAGTAACACCCCCTGAACTTTTTTGTGGCGGATACAGCAGTTCTTGTCAAGCACTGGTGCCCATGCAAGACGTTGGAGAATCTCCTTATGGTGCTGATAGCTGGGCCCCAGCCCCAGAGCGCTGCTGCAGGTTTACTTATAAGGTCTAGAATGGCCTTAGAAAATAACAAATCTGGGGCAAAGAGTGTCCTCACTGGTGGTGAGAAGCCCAACAGAGAAGTAGCTAAAAGTCAGTCTCTTTGCACACTCTCTGCCTTCTGCCTTTGCTGGTCTAGTGCTGAGAACTCTGAGATAACTATGCCAGTGGTGGGCAGAGGCTATATACTTAGCATGGATTAGCTCAAATGAACCAACTATCTCATAGTATAGTGTTTTACCACTTTGTAACTTCATCCTTTTTAATCTGGTAGAGCAATGTTAACAACCCGACATAAAATTAATATGGTAAGAACTCAGATCCCACTGGAAAGCAAAAACAAACACATTTTGAGAATTCACCTTTGAGTGGGATAAGAATATTAGACACTTTACATTATTTGGGAAGCTCAAAACCATTGATAATCCCTTAAAGATATGCAGGTACTCTAGTTATGAACAAGCAGTGATACTGGCAAAAAACAACACAAAACAAAAATTAAAACACTGCTACTCTTGCTTAAAGGTACCATAAAGTTAACTTCTCAATATTTGAGGAAGTTATTTCTATAATATAAATTTATTTTTAAAAATGGTGAATATAACTCAAGAAAAATTATGCTAAGAATATAATACATAATTTTAAATATATTCACAAATCAAAAAAGCCCATCTTTGTTTAATTGTACATCTCCAATTTGAGTTCAGAAGATATGATTCTAGAATAGCTAGTTAGTATCTAAAATATGGAAGCAAATTATTGACCAAAGCATTTTGATTTCTTGATTTTCTGGGATCCATAGAAATTTAACACATGATTTTCAACACTATAAAAACTAAAACATCCAATGTAGAGCCCTTATTATAGACATTCAGTCCACATCCCCTTATTACCTAATGTGGAGAACAGCCACTCATCCTTCCAAATTTCTCACTCATCACTGGGCAAGAGAAGATCTGTTACTAGTGTGATGCATTGAACCGCATGCAAAAGAAAAAAGAAAAGAAAAGAAAAGAAAAGAAAAGAAAAGAAAAGAAAAGAAAAGAAAAGAAAAGAAAAGAAAAGAAAAGAAAAGAAGGATATGTGTTTTATTGAGTTCCTCTCCTGTTTTTCTTTCTTCTGCTGAAATCTTTAACACCTGAGTTGGAGGTTACAACCTCGCTGCTCACTGGGACCTGAGCTCAGACCGAGTCCATGCAGATACGGAGATGTGTTCAGAAATCCTGGCCACGATCACTGAGGTGGGAAACTTGGATACTGATTCAAATGGTCCATCTAATGAGAGCTCTTCAGGGGGTCGTAGAAAATGAATAGGTAGATTGAACTATTGTTCTCCATTCTTCATGTCCTCTCTCAACTGGAATTACATAGCCATACTTTTTGTCATGGACCTTAGCAGGGTCTTGCACCAGTGTAGGCAGAGTCTATTTCCCTAGACCACTGATCTTGGACATGGCCATGTTGTTTTCTTTGGTCAATGTAATGTAGGTGACGAGTAAATAGGAGGACCATTTTTGGCCAAGACATTAGAGACAATGGATATTCTGCTGGCCTCACTTGGAATTCTGTAATTCACCATGGTGGGGGCAGGTAACATACCCTGGGTAGCTGCGGGTGTTGGAAAGATGACAACTCGTGGAGCAGACCTGAAGCAACAGAAGCCTGAATCCAAACTCATCAGGAGAGCCTGCTCAGTCCCAACTGAGCCCAGCCAAATCACAGCCAACCTAAAGACACACAAAAAACCATAAATATCTGTTGCTATAAGCTATTCCTTTTTTTTTTTTTTTTTTGCCATTTGGCATATTGCAGCAATAGATAACTGATAGACTAGATAAAACTGCCCAAAGAAATCTCAGACACATATCCAGCTTTGATGTACAAAAATACATTTATTTTCAACAATTTCAAAACCACTGTCTTTTTTTTACAGTAGAAATATTCAAATGGAACAATAAAACCAAGAACAGTATATATACATATACTGTATATATAGATACGACTCATGCATTTATATTCCATTGTTTAGTACAAGTATTGCAATTGTCTGCCCCATTTAACCCTTGAAACAAAAAAGCAGGATCTTTTGAAATACTCCTAATCCTGACCTATGCTGTAGCCAGACGATGCACATCACGTTCTCATAGAGAGAAATGTGAACGACATCCCACAAATATTAATGGGTGAAATTTTGGCCTTTCCTCCCATATATATATATATATGTATATATACACAGTGTATCATTTTCTAAAACAGTGTGCACAGGCTGAGCCTGAAAATTAAAAACTGCTTACAGCATGGCTTAAAGGGAGCCTACGGAAAACAACTGGCATGTCTAAATGTGTGAAGGGGCAGGTGCTGGGAAGGAAAGTACTCGTGTCGGGAGCCACTCACTCCAGGGGCAGGAGCTATCTTACGGGAACTGAAGGCAGACGTTTGACTTTAGGGAAGTTGTGTACATCTGACAAGCAAACAGCACAGCTTTGCTAAAATCATCTTTTGACTAATATCATTAAAGACTAGACCCCTATTTGGCCCACAAGGTTTGCCTGGACTCACGATTCTAGAAATGACACTTCCCTCCAGACCCCAGTAACCCCTCCCCTGCCAAGTCACTTGCTGGCCTGAATCTAGTGTCCAGAGGACTACTCTCAGCTAAAAATAGCTCAGGAATCTTCCAGAAACACTATCCATTTCTTTGGAATCCAACCAGAAAGCAGATTCACTGTTGTTTTTAGATCTGTTGCCTGGCTTTGTTAGAGAAGAGCATTTTCTCGTGCTGACATCCTGCATTTCGTCCTCCTGGAGGGGAACCCTTGTCCTCCATCTGGATCTCAGTTTGAAGTCTCTGGCGGGTTTCATCTCGCAACTTCTTCCATGTCACTGATGGAACAATAAGACTCCATGTTCCATGATATTCCTATAGTCCTTCCTTTACGAATCATCCCAAAGAAGTTCCCCTTCCCGAGCCCCCCACCCCATATACATAAGTGGCAACCAGCTATGGCATGGACACAGAGATGCAAGAGTTAATTGTGACAGACAACTGGAGAGCATCCAGAACCCAACACGTCAACCAGGCCTGGGGTTGGTCAGCTCTGAGGGTGAGTGCATAAGCCAACACACACATCTTTCTTTTTTCTGTTTTCTTTTTTACTAAACATTAAATTATTTCTTAGGAAATAAAAAGCTATTTACATTGTAATTATATACAAGAAGCCATCAGTAGCCTCACTATTGACATGCACGAGGCAGGGCCTCCTCCCTGAAGGTGTGCACTCTTGCTGCAGCTAGTTCACGCCCCACCAACCTACCTCCTGCAGATCTAACTGGGAAATGGTTGATGTTTTAGGTGCATGTGCTAGGGGATGAGGTTGTTGGTGATTCGGGGGATAGGAGGTTAATGAAAAGCCAATCCAACTTATAAAAACATAGAGAGACCACAAGGAAAAAGAGAGTCCTTGAACCATTAATGGCAGAATAAAGCAAGTGCCCATAGCACAAATATAGCCATTTATCCTTTTTATCTCATTTTAATCAGCTATGAACACCTCCCAAAGCTAAGTAAGCATCTGCCTGCTATTTATGAAGGGGCCCTTGGTAAACAAAGGGTAAAAAAAGACATTTCATTTGCTTCCATAATAATAGTAATAGTAATCATCAAAAATAAAAAGTCAGAGAGATGGTTGACCACGTGGCTTGTTGGTGTTAAACACTAGTGCAGTTGGGAATCTCCTTTGTGCTTTCGCTGTTTGCAATGGTGGCAATGCCTCCTGCAGGGGACAGAGAGAGAGAGAGAGAGGGAGAGAAGGGTGTAAGTTTCATAAGGGGAGGAGTCTGTGTTTGATTTCCTGCTCAATACAAAGCCACAGGTGCTTAATATGCACTTATTTAACAGGGCACCTAGATATTCTATCCCGTAAGCTCACTGGCTTATCTGACCTACATCTAAAGTTTGCCATCTCCCACACCAGCGTAATAGGTAGAACAACACCTTGCCATCTTATCCTCTACTAATACTCTGCTCTAATACTTATACTCCATCTATAGTGATAGGCACCATGCACTGAACACTTACTCTGTGGCAGGCACTGTGCTAATTGACATAATATCACTCCATCACCACAAAAGTCTCTGAAGGTAGGTACTATTATTCCTATGTCACAGATGAGGAATATGAGGCACAAGGAAGTTGTAGAGCTCATAGACTGGCAGGGCAAGGGGATTGTCTGAACAATAAAATGGACCCGGGTTATCGGATGGCAGAGCCCCCATTACTGTGATTATTAATGAGGACATGGAATGCTTTCTTGTGTGGTTCATGATCATGTGCTGATAATTGTTGTTTTTATTGTTGTTCATGCTTTTGCTTTATAGGAGGGAGAAAAAGAAAAAACTCAACAGTGATGGATAATGGGCCTCATCCCTCCCCAACTCTGATTTCAACAATTTCAAACTTGCTCTACTTTTAAGGGAAAATAATTTTGCCAATTTGATGTGTCCAGAGGTGGCAGGCAAATTTTCAAACATGACTGTGCCACTGCAGCCAGTTCTGGAACTATCTGAAGAACAGGCCTAGCCGGTTGGCTGACTGAGGGTGTAGAGGACAGAGGACACAGGAGCTTGTGGTACCAGCACACATACCTATGACCCGGGTGTCCAGCTCTTTGTCCAGCAGTTCCTCAGGCTCGGTGAAGTCACTGAGTGTGATTTTGGGGGCGTTTTCACTTTGGCTCACTGACCCAATCATCTCCTGCTCCTTGTCATGTTGAACTTGAGCATAGATGTTAATCCAGGGGATTTTCCTACATGGTCGGGAGTAAAATCAGATTATGATCACAGAACATATAGAACTTGGGCATTTGGAAACCCTGGGCGATAAGCCAAAGGAAGATGCTAGGCCAATGTCATGGAAAGGGAATGGTCACCCAGACACAGGTGTCATGAAGCCAAGAAACAGAGTGTCAGAGACCAAGATGCCCAGGGGATATGTAAACCACAGAACTCCCTGAGGAATGCACTTTCTTCTGGAGCAAAAACCAAGCCAGAGTAAACAGAAAGGCAATGCTCTCTATCATGTATGCACTAAAATCCTTATAACATTTATCTACTAATAAGAGTTTAAAGGAGCTGGATTTTGAGACTCATAGGGCTGTATCATAGTGCGAAGACCTTTTTTTTCTCCCTAAATTTGCATCAATTTAACCAATTCATATTGGTTTCCTTTATGAACAGTTAAGAAATAAAAAATGTATAGCCATTGCTAGTATTTTTTTTCAGAACATTATTCATGAGCCAAGTATCTTAAATACTTCCATAGTCAGTTTCCTCATCTGTTCAATAGGAATAACAATAGCTTCCTTTTAAGATTGTAGAGAGGATTAAGGCAAAGATTAAGAGACGTTCACTTTTTTCAAAGACACAAAAGTAGTGGGTTTGGAAAAAAGACAGACAGACTTGAGGTTGGAAGAACAGACAGGTTCAAGTTAAAATTGCAAAGGTTTATCTCCTGACCCACCTCTATGTATCTCCTGACCCACAGTGTTCCAGCTTTTGAATTCCTACAGTCCAGCATTTCTCAAACTATAAAGTGATTATACTTCCCCCAGGTTCTCATTAAAGCCTTGTGTGATCAGGAATGCTTAAGATTAAGCATTAGGATTGAGAATCTTTGCTTTTGTGCCTGTATTGGTCTGGACAAGGTGGGTTGAAATGTTGCATTTCTGCCAAGCTCAGATGATGCTGATGCTCCTGCTCTGAGACCCTAACTTTGAGTTGCAAGACTCTAACCATCAAATTAATCCCATCCCGGGACTTCAAAGCAACTGTTCCCCCTGTAACACACCCCTTTCTATTCATCTCATGATAGTGTCATTCAGAACTTGGCTTACATGTCATTTCCAAGAGATCTCTCCGGACCACCCAACCTCTCCTTTTATAAATATGTAATGAGATAGTGTCTATGAAAGAAATGAATAGGGCATCTGTTTAAGGTGATACAACAGACAGCATCTGTGACTTGTTCTCTGTCTCTCCAACTAGACTAAAAGTCCGATGTGCATAAATATATTTTTATCTTCACTGCTATACACGTAACTGAGCACAGTTCTTGGCACATGGTTCACATTCAGTAAGAATTTGTTGAATGAATAAATGACCTTAAACCATGGGCTCCTTCTATTTCCTATTTTCATATTATGCTCTCAAACAAAATAAACACAATGCTTTTTATCTTGGAATATTACATCCAGAAGAGATCTTTCTATCTCATTAAACAATTGGGAGATTGGACTGATGTTCATACATTTCATGAAGCTGATCACTGGCATAGATGTTATTAGAATTTGAAACATTTGACAACCACCCCAATCTAGAACATTCTGTGCATTTCGCTCTGTTGCTGTGTCACCAACCAGTAATATTTTCAAGCTTCTATATCCCACCCCCACTCTAATCTCCACTGGATGTACAGTGTGGGGGCATTTAATTGGGCTTTCCTATAACTAATTCATAAGGAAAGATAAAAAAAATAGGTTTAAAACATGGGTCATTTCTAACCTTCCCCCAGCATTCAGTTTTCATGTTTAATCGGAGGTATCCTCGTGACTCCTACTGGTCTGAACCAGTTTAATATAATTTACAAGAACCTTGAATGAATAGACTATGTGAGGCAGCAAATCATAGGCTCTCTAAATGTTCCTAATTAAAAATTTATGCTGGCCCCTACTTTCTTATCTAAATAAAAGTGCAGCCTAATGACTTAGATTTCTTCTAATCATAAAAGTACATATTACTCATGAACATCGGGATGAACTGTAATATTTATTAGGTGCTGGGGGCAGTAAAAGCATTCCTGATCACGCAAGCCTGTATAACTTCAGAGTTGTAGCTAGAGTTCACTGTTCCCCCTACCCTCAGGCGCCTTCCTGCTCTCCTAATGATACCTCTGAGGATTGGGATAAATTTGCCCTTATAAAGGTTGTTCATTTATTTCAGTCTCTAAAAACAGGCAGATTCCTTCAACATTTTTAATTGATGCTTGGAAGAGAATAAATTTTACATGTTAACAATTTTCAGCATTTCAGAATTTGTCAAATTACATTTCATTTCTTAACACATCCACTTGTAGGACTGTTGAGAATCTAAGTCAAGACTAAACCCAAAGTTTGCAGATAAGAAATGTGGGAAGTAGTCGTAGCGGCATGTCTTGGGCTCCACATTCATGGAGATTCAAATAAGTGCAGGAAGATGGATCAACCCGAGTCCCTACAAAAGCTTCAGTTTTTATTTGTTTGTTACAACTATGATAAGTGCTAGAAGCCCATGGGAGGAAATTGAGAGTCAGTGAAGTGGGCTTCAGACTATGATGAAAGCCTTACTTAAAAAAAATACTGGAGAATGTTTTCTCAGGTAACCAGGAAAAAAATGAATCTATAGTATAGAAAGAAGGCAGAGTGTTCAGAAAATAAAAGCCATCTTATAATGATTTTTAATTATCTTGCCTAACATCAGTCATAGCAGTCACCATAGAAGAACAAGATCAAATGTGAGAGACAGGGTGATATTTACTTAAAATAAGCTTGGGGCTCATGGTATCGCTATTCTCCTTCCCCTGTTAAGTGAGCGCTTAGGGTACTGAGATGGTTTTCAGTGCGTCGCACACAGTAGACACTCAGTGAGTTTTTGCTGAATGAATGGTTTAATGAGTTAATCCTGGTGATTAGAGAGAGAAAGTTTGGGGTCTGAAAATTCGGCATGCCTAGTGATCTGAAAACAAAAACAAAACTGTCCTTTCTCTACACTGTGTTATCCAAGTGTTCACTGGGAAGGTTTAGGCACTGAAATTTAAGTTAACAAAAGTTAAATAAAATTTAAAATTCAGTTCCTTGATCATATTAGTGACTACTGTGTTGGACAGTACAGCTTATGGAGCACTTTCATCTTTTGGACAATAGTAAATGAAGCAAAGGAGACTCTAGAACTCAGGGGCAAGAACTTGACCTTACTCGTCAGCAAGCCAGGCACAGTCCAATATGCCATCACTGGAGTTCCTTGTGATGAGGAGGAAAAGAGACCAAAGAAATTAAAGAAGATCCAACTAGACCTCCACCACAGGCCTTAAACATTGGGAGGAGAACTCCCAGAAAAAGAGGCTAGAAAAACAAAGGTAACTGCTGACTGGTAACTTTTATCTGACTCCTTTGTGTATCTAGTTTGCCTGGTGTTTGTTTCTGGTAGGCTTGGCTGCATGATTCACCGTCAGGGACATAGAAAGGTTGCCTACTGTTTAGGGACTACAAAGGTAGGATAATTCAGAGATGGCACTACCTGGCATAAATCCAAGTATTGAAGTGTATACATTTAGAGACCCCTACATTAACAAGTTGACTGGGGAGTTTGGCAGCATTTCCAAGAGAACAGAAAACTCTGTAAGTCCTTGGGTAAGTCTTGCCTTAATTTCTTGACACCTGACAAAAATACATTTTTGCAGGACTTCTACTGACCCTTGTCCTCAGCAAGCATGGAATTTTAGGGGCCAGGTGAGTAAATTTGGGATAGTTCATCTTCAAGCTGCAGCAACCACCAGCCTTCCCAACAATCAAATACTTAGATGAATAAAAGTGTGCTTTGCTTGTAACTGAAGTACATCCATAAATGGGTGTTGCCTTGACCAGACCATTTCTCAATTGAATCTTTGCTTTCTAACTGTAATATGAAGGGTTTCCCCCTTATTTTCAAAGGGAACATGGCAGGTGGGCTGACAAGCTTGATCCAAGAGAACCTAAACTTATACGGCTCTACAAATTGAGTAGGAAGGTAAACCTCATTAGGTCATTCTGGTGGAGGGTGTTGAAGGATTCCTGCTGTTCTGCATAATGTAGAGATGGAAAATAAGTAAAACTGGTATTTTGAAGCCTGCGATATTCGCTAGAGGAGAGCTAAAGGGAGCAGGGAAGGGGTGGACTGGAGCACCTTTAACACTAATCTCTTCCAAAATCTAAATGCATTACATTTAATGGCCAGGAACACTCCCAGGACCAAGTAGGCTTTCAAAACTCATCTGATGATAGTTAATAATAGTCCTACTTTACCCAGGCTTCCTATGAAGCACATTTATATGCCAATGATATGATTTTTGTGAACCTACTATGAGCCAGTTTGTGACACAGAAGTCACCTTTGGAAGGCACATTTTTTGTTATTTATAATAATAACTTAGATTTGTTGATTATTTAGTATGTACCTGGTACAGATATTATTACATTTAAACCATACACCAAATCTATAAAGTGTTATTGTTTTCCTTTTTTGACAGATGAGGAAACTAAAGTGGCTTAGAGAGCAAATCCAGTTGCCCAAGTTTACAAATGGTAAAAATAAAAATTGGGTCTGTCTTATTTCAGAGGTCATACTCTTAACTAGTCTACCTCTTGGTAGAAGTATTGAATTATTTAAAAAATGGTAAAGAATTATTGATTTCGTTTTCATGTTTCTAAGTAAGTATCCTGTCATATTAGTCCTCCTGGGGAGTAATATATATAGAATTTGGTTTTCATGATCAAATTTCCTTTACAAGCTAGAAAGGAGGGAGGAGGATAAGGTTAATTTTTTTAGATTGTATTTATCTAGTTTTAGAGAGAAGGAAATGGAGGGAGAGAGAGAGAGGAAGACAAACAACCATGTGCCAGAGAAACCTCAATTGGTTGCCTCCTACACACCCCCAACTGGGGAGCTGGCCCACAATCCAGGCTAGTGCCTGCCTGGAAATCAAACTGGTGACCTTTTGGTTTGCAGTATGACACCCATCCCACTGTGCCACACCAGTCAGGGCAAGGTTAAATATTTTTAGCATTCATATTTAAATAGCTGCAGCCCAAGATAAGAAACTGTGTGTGCATGTGTTCATACATGAGCATTTTCTCTACTTACCCACCCTGAATGGTTGCTAAGTTGCAGAAGAAGATACCCTGAATATATGAGACCTTATTTCACAAATTTAGGTGAAGTTCAAAAACTCCTTACAGTTCTCTCAGAGATAATAAATTGATTTCATAGACTATCCTTCATTTCCCTAACTCAATATAGTTCTAAATTAAATAGAGTTCAGATTATTCTTAAACTTATTTATTCCCAGACCCTAAACCAAACAGAGTTTCAAGGAAAATTAATATCACATAACTGGGATGAGTTTTGGAATGTTGGTTGCAAGAAGAACCAGCTCCCAGGAATCTAGCCCCAAGATCAAAATGGAGTGATGGTAGTACATACCTTTTGAACTTGTAGATCAGAAACACAGCCAGGCCAACGAACACCACCGACAAGAGCATCAGCATGGCTGAGCTGCTGCGCCCAGCACTGGAGTCCACCAGTGGAGCTAGGAGGAAAGAATATGCTCACTGGGAAAGTATTAGCTGAAGTGAGTACCCACTGGAGAAAGGAGGTGGGCGGGGGGGTTCCACCTTTCTAGCCAGTCTCCCACTGCCCTGAATGCTATCTGAGCATAGAAAGCTTGGTTTCAATGATGAAATTATATCCCTAATCACCCTAATCATGGCTTCTTATAGAAAGTAAACCCCTCTGTTCTTCCAGAGAGACTTGCCGTTCTTGGTGTAAACTGAGGACACACAATGTATGTCCAGCTAAGGGGAGTGGAAGAAGGACTTAACTGTCCTTTGTCTTATGCAGCCTGAGCATCTGTCAACACAACTGCAGGTAGCTCACGGGGAAACTTTGGATTAAACACTGGTGCAATGCTCCAGTCTCCTTACACTGTTCTGGTGAAACACCGCTGGATGAGCACATCTGGAATCTTCACATCTGGCAGCCTTTAGAGCAATATGGGACATTTAGCAAATAGGCTACTCCAAAGAGCCAGAAGTGTGTGCCAAAAGGGACTGATCTTCTTTTATTACTTTTACAAATCAACCAACTACACTTGATCTCTGTTTCAACTTAAACTTAAGGGATCTGATCTGACTTAACAATCAAGATTTATAGAATCAGAAAATCACAGAAATTAAGAGAGTCTGAGGACTGCCTAATATAATCCCAACTGTTACAGCTTAAAAAAAAAAAACCAAGACCCAAGGAAATTGTAGATTTTCCCCAAGATCATCTAAGGATTCAATAGCAAGGCACTTTTTAAAATTTTATTTTTATTTTATTTTAATTATTGTTCAAGTACAGTTTTCTGTCTTTTACTCCCATAGCAACCTACTCACCCCGGCTCTCCCCACCTCTCTCCCATATCCACCACCCCCTAGTTTTTGTCCATGTGTCCTTTATATTTGTGTCTGTAAACTCTTCCCCTTTTCCCCTGAAATTTCCTCCCCTCTCCCCTTGGTCACTGTCATCCAGTTCTCTATTTCAGTGTCTTTGGTTATATTTTTGCTTATTTGTTTGTTTCGTTATTTAGGTTCCTGTTAAAGATGAGGTCATATGGTATTTGTCTTTCACCACCTGGCTTATTTCACTTAGCATAACACTTTCCAGCTCTTACCCTTTGCTACAGCATGGATGGAACTACAAAGTATTATGCAAGGCACTTCTGAGAAAGTCTTTTTGCCACCTCAACAGGAAGCCTCAAGAAAGATGTAATTAATCTTTCTTAACCATCCCTATGTAAAAGAGCCCTGCCACAGAGCCATTTTCAGGCATTTATGGAGAAGTGTTTGCTAATTATCTCCCCCCTTTTCTCTCCAGGATAGCAGACCACCATACCCATTTTCCCCTGACTCCAAACAGGCACTCACTTACCTAATGTCAGCTGTGTGACATACACAATGACTTGAACCCCTGGCTTCAGTTCAAACTGGACCAAGTTTTGGTTTAGAGCATTAAACAGCATCTCTACAATCTAGGAAAAAAGAGACAGAGGACACATGGCAAGGCATGACCTGTGACAATGTTCCCTCATAGAGTAAGAAACCAGGGTCAACAGGTGAAAAAAAAAGAGAGAGAGACCATGTTAAATCAGAGGACAGGCTATTGGGACATCTGTATCAATATGGTTCCCTTAGAGCACTATAAAGCCAAAAAAGTAATTGACATTATTTGCTTATACTGGAGACAATAATGAGACAGAAAGAGGTATGTCCAAAGTCACCTAGTAAATTCCAGTTGATAACGGTCATTGATGTTTCCTTCAACATTTAGTTCACTGCTCTTTTATCCATGCCTTTTAACTTACAATAGAAAACTCTTCAGTGGGTTCCAGTGAAAGAAAGTCGACCCATCATTAGTTCTTTAATCTGATCAAGTAATACACAGAGGGTAGAGAGGCCCTGTCAGGACTAAGCAGGCACATATACCCCAGCCCACCCCTCTGCTTCCCTTTAGAGATAATGGGAGGCAAGCATCAAAGTGGAAGCTGCCTCCTTTTTATGGGATAATTTTTCCTTTTCACTTTTCCCCAGCAAATCTCAGAACACATAACATCAATTTAATCACTTGGTAATTCCCTCATGGAAGCATAGGCAGACTTAGGCTGCTGTCCCTAATGCTTATCTTGCTGTACGTGCCTTCATATCACAGCTGCTATTTGTCACCGTAATTACCGATTTATCTAAATGGATGGATATTGTAGTTTCCAAGTATAATTCACACATGCCACTTGCTAGTTCAGAATAAAGAGATCTTGTAAAAGTGATGCATGCATTAGCTGAGTTTATTTCTGGCCAAGTTCACTACGCAACCCTGAAGTGCAAGGATCTACTCCACTTCCCAGAGAAACAACTGTGATGACATCTGTGCTGCTTGAGATCTGAGACAAACTGAGGACAGATGTAGGGATGGGGTGTGGGCCAGGTGAGGAGCAGAGGGATGTGGAAGATATACATACAATGATCACCTGCTACAGGGGCAAAAGTGTTTGATTCATGCCGGGTTTTCGCAGCCTCATTCTCACTTATTGTAACCTCTGACTTAGCATCAGGGGAAGGGAGGGGAGGGTGGAGCAGAGCACAGACACCAAGACCCCAGTATGAGCAGGGACTGAGGGAGAAGCATGGGGCCAACCATCTCCTTTTCTTCCTGGATACTATGCTGATCACAGGAAGTAACTGTCCCTTTGGTAAGGACCACAAATCAGTCTCATTTGGAAATGCTGCTTCCTTGGTCAAGGTAAGATGAGGCAATCCATCTCTCTCCACAGAAACATGTTTAAAGCAGTTCATGTTCTCCCCAGAAGCAGAACTTAGATTGACTAGGATCTTTAAAGATAGAAAGCAACATTTTCCCAGCAAAAGAGAAACTCAAATTTCCCTCTCTTTCACCCACCTCTCTTTCTGCAGGGACAAGTCACTGTGTGGAAGATACGAGCAAGGTGTAGGGATGCCAACTGTTGGAATGAATGATGCTGATTGCTCCCGTCTGTGTGCATCTGTGTTTATTTTGGATTAGGCTGATTATTTTTCAAAGCCCTGAGTTTGGACAAATAGTAGCAGGCTGATGGGCCAATGGGAGAGAACGTCTCCCTGTTTAGATGGAATTAACTTTGGGTCCCCCTAGAATGTGAGGTGCACACTAGTGTTCTAGCCAAGTTCACTTTCACTTACTTGTTCCAGGTCCCCTTCATTGCCTTTCCGCCTCTCCGTCAAGTTCTTTGGGGGGAGGATAAAGAGCTCTGCTGACGTAGGGAGGCCAGGGAACACAGCAACCAGGATCTGGTCTTCTGGGACCCCAGTTACCTGCAAAGGTGTGCAAACCAAAGAGTGAAGTCATAGGGGAGCTAGCCTTCCCTGAGTCAATGACAAGAAGCAGAACATGCACAGGTTTAAGGCTTATATGTTTTTTAAATACAGCACTTTAGGTACAGGATCCAACTGACATTCAGGCCTTGTTTCTGTTTTCCACTAGAAGCGCTAGGTAAGGAATTATTAGTTTCACAACCTCCTCTGCTCTTACGTGCATTTTTACTGAAGCTTAAATAGTATTACAAATAATTTCCAAATTATTGTTTGCTGGGAACATTTGCAAAAGCTCCCTGCATATTTTGTTTTTCTGCACTAGAGTTCTGGATAACACATGAACAGAGACTGGCTGCAAATGAGGAAGAAGAAGTTATAAACAAACCTGGGAAATGCAAATGAAAGGCGAAAAAGCAAAGCAGCACTGGTTTTCACTTACTAAAGCAGGATTTTTTATTAACTTCAAACAGCTAATATTGGTGAGGCTTCAATTGAGAGGTCCCCTCATTTGTTGCTGGCAGCAGTAAAATCAGTATAGACTGCCAATTTGTTTTTCAGGGGACTTTGAGGCCATAAAAATTTGCAGGCCCTTCATTCAATTACTGTAACTTGGAGTGTTTGTCCTAGAGAAATATCCCAAAATATAGAAATAAGGCATATGCAGAAGGACATGCTCTCATCCTTACTTCTAATAGCAAGTAAGTGGGGAAAACAGAAGTATTTGAAAAAATTAAGTAAATAATGACATCATCAATCTGATGGAATGTTTCTCCACCATTAGGATGACAATTAGTGCCGTGAGCCAATATGAAAAAAAACTCATGATAGCTGCATTCTAATCTATGTCCTTCTATTTCTTTGGTTACAACTCTATAAAAATAAGAGTGTATCAGAGTAAAAGAGCAAAACAAAACACTAAAAGTTATGTTAAGATGCTGAGATTGTGAGTTAATTTTTCTATTCTTGAGTGTTTAGTAAAAGGAGTGTTTATGTTGCTTTATGATAAAAACTTAAATGGAAGCTTCTGTCTGAAAGCAAATTCCTAATGAAAACAAAACTCTTGAGTTTTCCCACTATAAAGCAGATGACTATTCTTTCTTTTGTGTCTCCTGAAGGTCTTACCCAGAACAACACTTCTTGTGCCAATCCATATATGATGATGTCATTTTTGATTTGGCAGAACTACTAGCCTCCTCCTTGATGATCTCTGCTGAAAGTGACCTCTTCCATGCCAGCGTCCTGCCCTCACCCCTCCCAGTGCACTACCTGCAGTCACAGGGGACTTAGATCACGTCCACTGTGACAGATGAGTACATCCATCAGTATAGTCTTTTCTCTGATAGCTTATCGTATGTTTGCCCAGACCTGCCTGAGGGGATTTGCCATCAGCTCACTCTTCCAAAGATGCCTGGCAAAGCAGAGACTCAATAAATAGTTGCTGGGTTGCATGGAAGTGGTGGGGTTAGTTGTTTCCCATTTGCTCAGCTTTATAATTAGATGTAGAGATTGGAGTTCACTCTCGGGAATGTGACAACAAACAGTGAAAGGGTCAACTTGAGAAGAAGTAATAAGCAGCAGTCAGAAACCTAGCGTCCACCATGGGTACCCCCTTGGGACCTGAGCTGTCTTCACCAGAGGCCTCAGTGTATCCTGCTGGAAGGTAAGAGCCTGGGTAGCAAGAAGTCTAGGTGCCCGACCGCATCAGGGAAAGAAGGCTTATCCTAACCAGTCACAGTAAACAAGCCTCCAGGGACCAGGCTGATGTCAAAATGCAAAGAATTACCCCATGGAGGGAAGTGGCTAAGCCGTGGCTGGTGTGACCCTTTGTCCTAGGCAACTGTCATCTTGGAGAGCATCATGGAGAGCATCAATCAGTAAGTTGGGGACCTTGGAGCTATGTGTCTGGAGTCATTCAACCTCATTCAGAGGGACATACGAGTGATTTCTTAATGATATTTAAGACCAAGGTATCAACTGGCATGGCTGATTATTATTATTAGGATTACTATTATAATTACCAAGTTATTTATTTAAAAGCTTATATGTTTTTAATAAATCAAATTATATAAAATACAACATAATTATGGATGTTTCACAGTCAAAGGCATCCAAGAATGGCCTCATTTTAATCCTTTTCTATGAGCAATCTCTTTGTTAAAAGATTTGAGGTAAAGTCCATCCTTTGGACAATTCCCCATAGGAATGCTCTTATGTCTCCACTTTTACTCATTCTTCTTGCTTTCTGTCAGCTCCTTCTTCACATCTGTCCATGCAGCTTTCTCCTCTGTCTTGGAAAGTGTCTGCCCTGCCCCCACACTCCCTGATGGGGCGTGTCTGGGGACTGCCACCACCTCAGCTCCCACCTCTCTACCTCCAGCTGGAACGTCTGCCTGATCTTCAGATCTACATTTCCAGGTCTCCTGGTTATCTTCACCCAGTTGTTTCTCCAAACTCAGATGAAAGATCAAATCATTATGGTTCCCACAGTATGTTCCTCCCTCCCTCTCATTCATACCACATTTTATTGGTCATCAATTCTATTTTTCAACTTCCCAAGTAGCCTTTGAATCCTTCCTCTTCAGGATTTTATTATCTCTGGCCAGGATAACAGTGGCAGTCTTATAACTATCATCTTTTGTGAAATCTTCCCCCACTCTACTTACTTTCTACCTCAGAACCCATCCTCTGCGTTGCCATTAGAATGGATATCTGATTCATAAATCTATTGTCAGGAATTTTTACTAACATTTAAAAAACCCACATTTCACACTTCTCAGTGCCTTTAAGAGGCAGATCAAACCTGTTCTAGCTTCTCAGACCCTTCACAAAATGATTTAACCACACCCCCTGAACATTATCTACCCTAGCCCTTAACACCTAAAGACTGGCTACACTAAACTCTGCAATTTCCAAATATACTGTGTTCTTTCAGTAGTCCACAGCTTTGCACATGCTGTTCATTCCACCTGAAAGATATCATCCTGTTAACTATTACTTATCCCTTAAAACAGTCCAAGTATCTTCTCCAAAAACCATTCTGATAGTTCATAAGTATTTATTGAATCACCAATATGTGCTAAGCTTGCACTTTTCTGAATGAAGTGAATCTCACTTCTTGCCATGCTCTTTTGATATGCAGACAAGCCTCTATCTAGCATAGAACTAGCTGCATATTAGAACTGACCATGTTTTATTCATCATTATATTCTAGTGCCTAGCTCTTAGAAAAGGTTTAACAACACCCTTTCAACTTTCTCTGACCTTGGTTAATTCTAGAAAGTCTGCTGGCACGCTCTGTTTCCTGGCCTTTAGCCTTCTGATCACCATATATGGCCAACAGTGGTCTTGGAATCTAAGTGTCTGATTAAGAAAACCCTTTTGGCAGACAAAAAGTCAGCCAAGTGAATAATATTAGTATAGACTCAATGAGTGGCCCTCATTATCTCATTAAAGAGGTCAAGCTCCTGTCTTAGAAAACAATTAGAATAAATATGGGGCCAATCTCCACCCTCAAACATTGGCCCCTTCCTCTCTCTCTGTCTCTACCCCCCTCTCTCTTTCTTCCTCCACTCCACCCCCCACCATTCCACCATCATTCTTTGACTCCTTCCATTTTTTCCTCTCTCTCTCTCTCTTTTTTTTTTTTTTACAGAAAATCCTAATCAAAGTACAGAATAGTGGTTTTTATCTATGAAAAGTTATCCTGGAGGACACCATCTGGCACTTTGTTCATAAAGATTTAAACAAATATATAGCCCACTTACCTTAACCAGAGCTCTCTTGATGACATTGCCAATATCTTGCCTCCACTCTGGAATGTCAGGATTGTGGTAATCCAGGTTAGGAGAGAATGATAACAGCTGGGACTGGAAATACTCTGTAAGAAGAGAGAGTGTGTGAGTGATGCTGAGAGCAGGTGTGAAAGGCGAGAAGACTCCACACTCCCCATGCTTTAGGGAGAGGGTCTGCTCTTTCTTATAGACTCAATTACAATTCCTTCTTTTCAGCCTGTCCCTTGGCCTCTGAAAAAAAGTGGGATTTGATGACTGGAAAGAGATTTGTACTCCTGCCATTTTTTCTTAGTTCCTAATATCTTAGGTGCTTCTTATAAAAAAATATTACCTGAAATGAAAAGTATAAAACCCCCAAAGAAGGAGACTTTTGCTAGTGTAAGTGGTACCATACAGAGCCAGTGACGAATCATTAACAAGTTGGACTTAATGAGAATAGAATCCTTTGTCCTCCCCCCACTCCCTTGTTCATCCTGCCGGCACCACCTCAGGGCTGGGGTGTGGGAGGACCAGGAAGAAGGTTGAAACCTTGGATCTAGGGTGTGGCCAATGTTTAATTTCTTGATCTGGTTGGTGAGTACATAGCTTCGTTCACTCTGGGTAATTCATGGAGCTAAAACCCTTATGTTTACTTTTCTGTATTATATTTATACTTAAATAAAAATGTTCAGTTAAAAAAATCTTCTAGATGCCCAATGAGAGAGCCTGAGCATCATGTTTGCAATAAATATAGGAAAAGCCCAGAGGAGCTAGTACAACTTTCTAGAAAACCCTGGTATAATGACTGTGTTCAGGGACTTGGGGGAGGTTGGGTAAGATGGTGGAAAAAGCACAATTTTATTTAAAATAAATTAAAAAATGAAGAATGGTTCTCCAGGATTCAGAACAGAATACTTGTCCTATTTACCACTCTCCTGCCTTGCTCCGTCCTTATATTTTTAGCCATATGTTCAGCCTTTGCAGCCAATAATATTAGAATCTTCACCAATCAAAAAAGCACATAGGTTATGTGTAGTTCATTTCAGTCCCTGAGCTCTGAGCTCTTCAAGGTCAGGGACCGTGACTCCTCCAACTTTTAAAATCACAAAAAAGGGGCCCTCATCCCCACAAAAAAAATGGGTGCTGTGTGTTTGTTGTAGGTACTTCACTAGGACATCAGATCTAGCAGCTACTATGACAGTTTGCCCAGCTCATGATCATTTCAACTTATGATAAGTCTCTAGCTAATGAGACTATTAGGTTGTGATGTAGACACATCTCAGAAGACAACAAATGCCTGTCTGTGCCCTGCTTCTTTTATCAACCCTGTCTTTATTCAGAAACAAGGCAGGAAAAAGGTTGGGCAACCTATCGTGGACGTGCATCATTTTCCCATGCCCTGGTGGTGAATTTCCAAAGCAATCAGCAGTTGTCACTAGGGTGGAGAGAGGGGATTGGCAGGGTAGGAAGAGGCATCTCAAGGACAATTTTTAGGGCTCACCATGAACTGCTATATCTTTTGTGTCCTGGATGAGAGCATTCCCAGCCGCCACCTGAACAGTGATGGTATTGGTTCCCTCTGCAAGGAACGTGAAGGAAATGCTGCTGTCCAAGGTGATGAGGGGCTAAAGGGAATAGAAAGACCAATTTTAATCCTCTGCATAATATGAAATTTCCTCCTTTCCTGTAAATCTCAGACTGTCAAAATCTGCATATTTGCATATCCCTAAGGGATCCTAACTTGAAAAAGGAAAAGAGAAAATTACACAGCTTCCCAAAACTGTGATTATATCCAGTATCCAAGAAGAGTATTAATAAATTAAAAATACTATAACTGTAATAACTGTAAAGTATTAATCCTGAGAAATAAAGACTGGACATCCTTGACTTTGCTTGTCATTCTGTTCCTTCTCCTGGTGCAAAGTAGAAGCATGTTTTGTAACCTCTTCCTATTGGCTCTGGACATAGAGCCAATATTCTCTTCTGCAATAGTCCACATCTCTCGTATTTTCAACCTGTATTCCACTGGATTGTAAGACTATTCAGAGAAGTGACTGTATTTTATTGATTCCTGTATCATCCACTTTTGGCACAGCTATGCAGATAGCAGAATATATATAGAAGTCAGATTCCTAGTCATAGTATTGGATTTTTATTTTGTTATATCTGTGTTATCCATTTTAAGCCATTTCTAACATTTTAATAGGTTGAAAAATAGATAAACATATATATATATGATCATTTTAATCCTTTTTCTTTTTTGTTTTATTTTCCTTATTATAACTGAGGTGAGGATTTGCCTAGGATAAAAAGAGAAACAGAACACTTTTCCCTGCAAATTAGGATCTTGATTAAATCTGGAGCTTATTGAAGATGAGAGGATGAAGCTCTTGAGATTAATGAGTCACTGTTCAATGGTCATCTTGAGGTCCATGCCCTGTCAATTTCTCCGGTGTATGCAAGGTAAGACTTAATAAGAGAAGGCTTCTCTAAGGCAACTCATAAGGAGATATCACAAACCCAGGTGAGCTGACTCCCTCTTTTTTCCATGTCGGGACAACAATGGGACAGAAAGTAAGCATGTAGCTTGGTACGGATGCAGAGAACATTAAGGGGTGGGTCTCAGCCAGTACTCACAGAGCAAACCCCTGCATCTGAACTGAACATGGCTTAGATGTGGGGGCAGAACCCCACAGAGGCTCAGAGATGTGGCTGTCAGTGACCCTCCTGCAAGACAGGAATTCCTTCCTAGCTCAGAATTTTCAAAAATAACGATTTGATTTCTTCTGCTTTAAAATTCCCTACAGGTGGTAGATATAGGGGCATTCACTATAAAATTATCTCAACTTTAGTGTATATTTGAAGGTTTTAATAATAAAATGTTGGGAAAGAAACGAAAGTAGAAAGGAATCATCAACGTGTTTTTATTTTTCTTGACTCCGTAAATCGCTGTCTGTGATTGCCCTTCTGTTCTGGTACGACGGCCCTCAGCTACTTCTCTTCTCTTTCCCACCTCTCACCACCAGGATATCTTTCTTCCTCTGAGTCACTTCTTCAGGGAACCATCACAACTCCCCGGTCATCTTCTTCAGCTCTCAGTGGTCTGCAGGGCCCCCTCTCCTTTCTCTGTACTCTCTTCTTCTTTTAGATTCAGGTGGTTAGAACTGTGCCAGCCAATGGCATTCTTTTCTGAGGGGACAGGAATACCTCTTATCCCAGCAGGTTTGAACTTCTCCTCATCTAGCTGCTTCCCTAGGAGATCCAGGGGCCAAGCAAGGACACAGAGTAGCAAGACGAGGGAATGCCAACTGAGGTGGGAAGGACGATGCCATTCCACCAGCCAGACAGGGCTCTGAGCCACGGAAACAAACTGTACTGAAAGGCAACACTCTATCTCCGGGTGGCAGGCCCCAGGCTTCACTGCTGGGGAAATGGCAAGAACTAATTTTGTTTTCCAAATTGTTCTTATTTTTCATCAGCTCTTAGGGCATCACAGCTCATATCACCTTCCTTGCAAAGGAACACTCAACAGGATCCTTGAGTTCTTTCTTGCCACTGATATTTAGAGCACAGTGCTAAGTTAAATCAAGTGTTTAAGGTTCATTTACAGGATCCGTTAGGCAAGCAGATGCAATGGTTAAAGCCAGACCTCTGTTAATCCCAGCAAACTGGCCGTTCAGAGCCCCACAGATCCAATAGGTGGCCAGCCGATTGCCTTCTCTGTCTGAGTTTAAGCTGTGTGGCCAGCCCACAGGGAGACTGCTTGGATTAACACTTCATGCCCTGCCTAGGCTGGGCACTACGTCCCTTCCTGCAGAGAACCCCTCACGCATGACAGGTTACTTGTTATCCACTGAGCCCAGCAAGAGACCAACAAAGCTCTGAGTGACTATTTAGTTATGAGACTTCCACTTGACAAATGAATGAAATAGGAAACTTCTGGGAAATCTTTAGATACAGCCTACTCCAGTTTGCCAAGCACAGTAAGTCAAGTTAATACTGAATATCACGCAATCACTTCAATTTCAATGTATGCCTTGATGAAAACTGCCATTCCCCAATTGGGCAGGCTATGCAGTCAATATTCTGGCCTTACTTAAAGTCTTCAGCAGATTATATAGTAATGTGTGAAAAGTGGTTATGATATAAAGTAGCAAAGGCAGAATATGTAATGTGAATATATTATGACTAGAACTATGTAAAATCTCTAAAATATATACAAGAACAGAAAGAAATAAAGTAAAATAATATGAATAGAATATTACCTATGACTATAGAATTAATGTGAAAATTCAGTTTGGAATAAAATTCCTCAAATGTACACACACAAACACACACACATCCAAAAACTCTTCAAGAGTATCTCAGTGTCTAAGTATCAAGGTCCATGAATCTGGTTCTACCTTACATCATGCATTTCAAAATCCGAGTTTCTACAACAAAACAAAAAGCATCCATTTACATCATTCAAACCCACCCATTATCTATCCTCCCACCTTTCATTATATTCTCCAGCTTCTGCTCACGTTTCTGAATCCTCCGTGTTGTTTGAATCAGTCTACACCATCTACACAGGACACAATTATGCCCAAAGCCTTAACTTTATATGCAAATTCCTTTCTTTCCTTTCTGCCTCAATTCTACTGCTCCCCTGAGACCAGCTTAGGACAAACTTCACATATAACCCATTCCATAACCAACAGACTCTATGTCCATCGCCCTGTAGGCCACAGGTAGCAAACACGAGGCCTGCAGGCCAAATGCGGCCCTCCACCTTGTTTTATCTGGCCTGGCACCTTGTTTCCACCCAGCGGCAGCACTGAACTCTCACTTAACTGTTAGGGAGTAGTTACATGTATACAGTCCTAAAATTACATTCAGCCCTTTGAAGGCAATGTGAGACTGATGTGGCCCGTGGTAAAAATGAGTTTGACACCTCCGCTCTAGGTTTGCTGGACTGGGCTAGTAAGAATACATTCCTAAGTACAGTACCTTTTAGTATTGTTACCGCACAGTATCTACAATATCTGTTATCTTACAGCATCTTCTTAGATGTGAACCTCATATTCTCAAATAGATTCTATTTCTTGAAGGCAACAATTGGAATCTACTCTGCTTTGTATTCCTCATGACATGTAACATAAAATACGGGCTCTTGAAGAAGATCCATACAGCTACTGACTCAGTTTCACATTGCGCTGTTAAGTCTGCAGGTATATGAGCTGACGTGTAGATTTCAGGAACACTTGCTCTTTTCTTTTTACTTCTATAGCATACTTGCTCGCCAATCATAATCATTGCATGTTTGTTTATCCTGCCTTCTGTGTGCACTGTAATTTCCTTGAAGGTAGAGGCAATGCTGTGAATGTTCTGATTCCCAAGTGCACCAAGCAGAGGGCTAAACAGAAGGAGTAGGGTATTAATTGATTATTATTGAGAGATCGTTTAACTCAACCACCCGAGTGAACCTGTCCAATTCACCTAGTCACAACACACAAACATGCATACACATATACACACAAAACACTACCTTCTAAGCTAATTAGCCTGTTTTCTCTATACAGTGGGATAATTTCCTCTTTTTCAGTGATGTTCTAATGATTGAATAAAATAATACATATTAAGAGACTCACACAAAGCAGTACTAGGAAAAAAAAACTTAAAATTAGTATTAGCTCCTTTTACAGAACAGGTCAGTTTGCTAGTCTAAGGGAACCAAATAGCTCTAAAATCAGAGGACTCACCATGACACCAAAAACACTCATTCATTTGTGAGCCAAAGATGGTGGTCATGGGATTAATTATTGGATACGGTGTCCACCTTGATGTGCCCATGGCATGGTGCTGCAATAAAGCACTGAAAACATATCTGTTTCAAATGGACTGAGTAATCATTCTTGGAGGTGAGAGGGAAATGCATGGAACCAAGTTAGATTTGTCACCGACATGTAGATGCTATTGATGCAAATGGTGAGCGTGCACAGTAGCAAATGATATGTTCACGTGCTCAGATGTATTCGAAGCCCTTTACATGCCTTTCTTTACTTAATCCTCAAAGCAATATTAGAGTATAGTTACTACTATAATATCTCTGACACTGTAGTGAACAAAACCAGGGCACAGAGAAAAGATAATATTTAACTGAAGACATAGAGCCAAAAAGAATCTGAGTCTGGACTCCAATCCACTATTGTCCTATTTCAAAACCCTTCTTTTCTAATACCTCTCATGCATTATCATTCTCTTGCTTCTTTGGGAACAAAAATCAACTGGTAAGACCTTGCAAATCTTGGTATTTGGGCAACACTTCATGCTCATGTTTAGAGATGGATAATTACTAACCAAAGGAACACCTCATGTCATCATAAATTTTAAAAGCTTTAATGCCCTTCTGTTATTTAAAAATGCCCCTCTCATAACATGGCATAAGACAGATGAGATAGATAGATAAACACTTTATAGCTCGATGTTCATGGATCACACATTAGTATTCTCACTTTAGAGAAATGAACACTGAGCCTCACATCAGGTGATTTGTTCACGCTAACACAGATAATCGTTAGAGAAATTGAATTTGGACTCTCCATCCCTTTATCCACTTTTCTGGTTATTTATCAAATATTTATCAGACACTGTCTCATTTTTCAGTTCTTAGAAGCAGCACTTGAAGAAAAACATGGTGCTGTGGAAAAATGTCACGTCGAAGGTTCCTTGCAGGCTGCTGAGTAAACCCTTGTGTTGATGACCAAGAACTGCCCGCATTACACACACTAGTCTCTCAGTAAAAAAAAAAAAGAATTCCCTGACTAGCGGCCAAAGCCTCACTTCGTCAGAAGAGAAATGAACTTAAATTTCTTCTCCTCACTTACTTTCCACAAATGATTTTTTTTCCCTTCTCCATGCATGTCTGTTGAATTTTGAAGGAAGATCTGAGGGTCTGTAACCTCTGTGAGGCAGACTGATGCAGCTAAAGCGTCCTGGGGCTAAAGGAGAGGGCAGAACCTTGTAGGAGGAGCTTGGAGACCAGCATTTTAGGTCAGACTCTACAGTTAACCAGCTGTTTCACCCTGGGGTGCTCATCTCAAACAGGGAGCTCTACTTCTTTAATGTATTAAGTGGGGATCTTATTAATTAACCCCATAACCATTGCCTGGTAATAATCCCAGAAATGCACATCAGTAGCCTCCTCTAGGAAATAGATCTGAAAGTATACAGCATGGATAATGCAAAGAGAAAAAGGGCTCTTGGTCCATGAATCTAGTTCTATTTTTTTGTCAATCCATCCTAACTTCCACTTTTTAGGACAAAATGCAAAGAATCCATTTAGTGAGTACCCAGTGTGTACCAGGGAGATACACATGCCCTTACTTAGTTTGCATGACCACCAAGATGACATAGATATTATTCTTTCCAGTGTGCAGTTGAGTGAGTTAATTTTGAAGTCAAATATCTTGACCAAGCTCACGTGGCCAGCACGTGGCAGTGCGGGACTCTGACCTGTGTCTCTCTGACTCCTTTCATGCAGGGGCTGAAGTTTCTCCTGTCATCTTGAAATAAGCAAACAAAACCATTGCTCCATTCATGTCTCAAAAGAATTACTGCACCAGCAATTAAATGAGTTACCCCTTTAAGATAGTCAGCGTTTCCAAGTATCATATGATAGCTTTCTTAAATTATTAAAAAAAATAAAGCTAGAGACTGAAGGTAAGCAATACCAATCACATCAAAAATGGCCAAGGAAAATGCAAAGACTGTAACATGAACAGAGAAGAACATTAAGCCACTAGATTGATAAACCCTCAGTCCAACTGCCCCAGATTCTGTTATACAAGTGTGGTTATTTTTGACACAAGTGCCCTCCCCATGAGTGGCCGAGAGCAGGGAGCATCTGAAAGGTGCAGAGTCTGGCCCCTATAGCACCTTTTGGTGTGACCTGGCAACATTAGTACCATGTCTAAGAACCCTGGCCTTCAGAGAACACCGGTAGGTCTTGATAAAGATTCTTTACACGCACTGTCCCACTTGCTCCTCATAGCCTTACATTTAAATATCTAATTCATATTTTGTAAATGGGGTTACTTAATCTCAGAAATGCTAAGTGATTTCCTTGATACTATATAGCTAGTGAAAGTCCAGGATTAAAACAGATGGAGCAAAGAAGTTTTAGAAATATTGATCATAGGAGAAAGAACAACCAAATTAGTACAGTTTCTCAAAGTAATCTTACTTCCTTAGGGTTATTTGAACTTTCCCTATAATAATAATAATGAACTAGGGAGTTATGTTGTATTCAGTTATGTGGATTCATATCTTCATTAAGTACATACTTTTGCCTACATCCCCCAGCATCCCAATGTTAACACAGAACCTGGAGCCCAGGAACGTTCAGTACAGATCTAACCAGACACCAGGCAGAAAGGGCCGAACCTTCGTGCTGTTGCCGAACCACCAGAAGTAGGTCAGAGTCCCCAGCTGACTGGGCCACACCACCGCACTGATGTTGATCTCCTTATTTCTTATGGCGACAAATGGAACTCGGAGATGAACATGCTCCACGGGACCTAAAGGAGCAAGGAAAACAATGGCAGTGTTTAAATTCCTAGAATAAACTATCACACTTCCAGGTTCTTAATCTTAACCATTATTACCATCATCTATAAGAAAACAAGGATAACAAACTCATGTATGTTCAGAGGTACGTGTACCAATGTATGTGTGTGTTCTTCAAATGAAATACCACCTGTATTAAGGAAATCAAATCAGGCTTCAGATTTTTTTTCTGAGTGACATTCGAACTTAATTTACCTATATATCTGAATAAACTGATAGTAACTAGAGGGAAGGAAAAAGGAGGAGGATAATGGGGGAAAGAAGGGAAAGGGTCAAGTCAAGGAACATGGATAAAGGACCCACGGACAAAGTCAGTGGGGTGGGGGAGAGGGAATGTGGGAGAAGGGCTGTGGGCAGAGCAGGGGAGAAAACAGGCACAAGTGTAATCGAACAACAATAAATAAATAAATAAATAAATAAATAAATAAATAAATAACACCCGATAAATCAAATCACAAATGCTTATGAAACTCCAGTCCAAGGACAAGGCTAGTTTTACTAACAATGAGCCAATAAACAGGAGGAAAAACGGCACTCGCTTTCCTTTCTGAGGATTAGCCTGTTTAGTGGTTCAGGGTCAATGCGCTGCATGGGGGCTCTGCCATTGTCCTTGACTGTGAATGCGTCCCACCCTCTCCAACCACTGTCACTGGGCCTATGGTTGGCAGCACTCAGTGTCATTCAGAAGCAGGCAAGCTGTTTTACAAAAAAGGAAAACCCCATTTCCTTAAACTGAAGGAGAAACAAACGCCAGGCTTCCAAATAATAAAAAAGCTGTTTGCAAACAGTTGACCAAACATTTCCTTTTTTTTTCCCCTCAGAAAACCGAGATAAGCAATACCAGGTTCTAAGGTAAGAGAACATACAGGAACACATTCTGTGCATAATACATGAGGATTTTAATTAAATTAATTTCCAAAATAAAATGAGAGAGGAAAATGCTAAGGGAAAATGTTAATATCTGTGTTGTACGTGTGGGGTAGATATGTTATTATTTAACCGTCTTTGGGATTTTCTCCTCCACCTCTGTCCCTTCCTCTTTCCTTTTCCCCTCACCCATTCTTCCTTCCTTCTTGACTTTCTTCCTTCCTTAATTTTGGCTCTATACTTTCTTCTTTCCCCCTCCTTTCCCTTCCTGTTTTTCCTACTTAATCAAATCCAATCAAAATGTTCTAATTACCCCTTCACACTAACTGCACATTCCCCTGGTTTCCACTGCTATACTCTGGTTAGTGAAAGTGACTAAAAGTCACAACTGGGGGTCTTCAGGACATCTCTCTAGTCTGGGGGTCTTCAGTATTTCCCACGGGTAGGACAGTTTTCAGGCCACCCAGCCTTTGCTATTTGCATCTTGGATCATTTTGGAGACAACCCGGTTTAAACTGAAGAAATGACATGAAAACGAATGGGTACTTCTCATTTCTGCTCTGGTTCAAATTAACTATTGATCATTTCCTCTATCTTATAGGGCCTTGACCTTATATAGACTGTTACCTTGTCCTAAAAATAAGGGGCAAACTTGCTCTGCCTTCCTGATAGCAATAAGAACATGTGAAAGTACTGTGTGGCTGTTAAGAGTACCAGAAAGTTAATTTTGTGTCAGTACTATTCCTATGCCCACCATCATGACCACCAGAGCATCACTGCTCTTGTGTATCTTTGGGTAGGATTCCCTCTAAGGACAGTGGGCAATATTCTGGATCCCACCGGACCTATTCTGTGTTGTGAGTAAACTTACATCAGGGGAGAAGGTATTTGGACATGAATTGATGTTGGGTGATAAGAGCAGCCAGCTCTGCTCCCCACTGTCCAGACCAAACAGTCAACGGGTCTTTAAGAATCTGTGTGTCTATGCCCTGAAAATACCTTCTGCCTACAGCTCTTGGACCTGACTCCAGCATGTCAAGATTTCCTCCAGCAAAGAACTTGAAACTTGTCACATCAGAGGCTTAATCATTGTCAATAAGAAAGTCTTCAATTAATTCTGTGTGGTTTCATTGTTGGCGAGAATAAATATCACAAGGCGTGTGAAAACGCTGCTTTATTGCTTTATTGACTCATTTCTAGGAGTTCGCCTAATGTGTCTCTCTCCGTGTGTGGTTTTGTGCTTTATTGGTCAGTGGGGAAGAGAATGAAGGAGTGGGAAGGAGTCTCTGGCCAGCCCATGTCCAAGCAGGGACATGAGAGAGCTGCATCTTACAACATCACCTCGGTCTTTTTCCAGGCCCAGACGCAGGTCCCTCACTCTTCCCCTTTCGCCCTCACAGTCATTGCTCCTGCTGTCAAGTGAAAATGGCCTGGAGCCCATTCCCCTGGCCAGCTCACGGGAATCCTTGACTCGTCCACAATTAGGAATGAGGCTACTATGGCTGTGGCCTTATAAATTCTTGTCATCCTGCTGTCACTCATGGGCCAGTGCTTACATTGGCAGGTATTTTGATGACCATGAAGATAAAAGGAGACCTCTTTCTCCCTAAACTCATAGAAACACAAAAGGGATGGGGCTTCCATGAACTGGGACATATCACATTTGGCCACATTTATTCCAGCATCAGGACGAGCATGTTTGGGTAAATATAACCTCAAGTAACAACAGGTAGTGTCTGTTTAGCACAAAGAGCTTGAGACAGAAGCTTCAAGCTTCCACCTAGATAGAGACAGACTGTGGATCAGAGAGAAGAGAGCTGAAGGGACTCAGGAGCGAGCATGGCCAATACCTAACACCTTCACTGTCAAACAGTGCTCTTTTTGATAAAAATCTAATAATCAGTGTGAGAACAGTTATTATGGGCAGCTAACAACTACTTTTGTTAGCTAATGGCCCAAGGTGAGGCCAAGAGCAGTTTGCACTCTAATAACTGTCTGGTAAATGCAGTCATGATTGATTGAGAGGGAATTATGAGCACAGTAAAAGTTTCAAGGAACATTTCCTCCTCCCTGCAGAAGACCCACAGTTTAAACCTGTTCCTTGGTATTGTGTTTTTTACCACTAAGACACAAGAGTCTTTGTGCCCTGCAGACAAGGACTATTCTTACCACAATTAGGAACAGGGGCAGGTCCTTGAAATAAAAAAAATAATAATAACCTTTTTTTCTTTGTCTTCATGTTTAAATGCCACAGAAGTGTCAGGAAGAAAGTTAATAGGAAGTACTTAATACAGCTGACCCTGAACAACATGAGTTTGAACTATGGGTGTCCATTTAAAATATTCTTTTATTGAATTTATTGGGGTGATGTTGGTTAATGAAATGATACAGGTTTCATGTGCACAATTCTTTTTGAAAGATTTTATTTATTTAGTTTTAGAGAGAGGAGAAGGGAGGGAGAAAGAGAGAAAGAGAAACATCAATGTGTGGTTGCCTCTTGCATGCCCCCTACTGGGGATCTGGCCAGCAACACAGGCATGTGCCCTGACTGGGAATTGAACCAGTGACACTCTAGTTTGCAGGCCAGCACTCAATCTACTGAGCCACACCAGCCAGGGCACAGTGTGTGATTTTATTCTACATTATCTGTATTTGGTGTTGTGTGTTTACCACCCCAAGTCAAGTCTCCTTTTATCACCATATATGCCCCCTTTTACCCTCTTCTACCCCCCCCCACCTTTCCCTCTGGTAATCACCATACTGTTATCTGTTTTTTTTCTTTGCTAATCCCTTCACCTTTTTCACTCAGTCCCCCCCAAATCCCCCCCCCCCTTTGATAGCTGTCAGTCTGTTTTCTTTATCTGTGAGTCTGGAAAAAAAGAAATTGAAGAGGATACACATAAGTGAAGGCATATACCATGTTCATGAACTTGAAGATTTAACATCATTAAAACTCCCATACTACTGAAAGCAGTCATAGATTCAGTGTAATGCCTATTAATATACCAATGGTGTACTTCACAGAACTAAAGCAAATATTCCAAAAGTTTATAGGGAACAAAAAAAGACACTGAATAGCCACAGCGATCTTGACAAAGAAGAACAGAATTGGAGGAATCACACTATCTGATAGCAAACTATGGGGGGGACCCCCCCCAAAAACCTTATAATTTATTTATACAAAAATGTGCATTTATTCTTACATGTTTCATCTTCAGTCACCTTCAACATACTCTCCAATGGATAGACTTAGAGAGATGTTTTTTTCCACTGCTCAAAACAGTTTTTGAACTTGTTGATTTTAATGCCTTTTAGTGTTTCTGCCATTTTTTTTTTTTTTGGTTTCACCACTTCTATATTGACAAAAATGTTTCCCTTTTAGAATGTTTTTCATCCAGGAAATTTTTTTTTAATGTTGCTCAGGGTGAGATTGGGTGAATAGGGAGGGTGGGGCATGGGGATCATGCTGGTTTTGGTCAAAAACTGCTTAACACTCAGTGTGTTGTGGGCAGGCACATTTATAAATCACCAACATGAAATGGACAAATGTGCTGAAAGAGTCTTCAAAAAAATTTACTGAAGCTGAACACAGCCTCTCACAGTGATGTCAACTGGTACAGTGATACAGATGGGTTCCTAGAACACTCACCTAGTGGGGGAAGCCTGTATTTAGGGGCCTGCCTTCAGAAGATAATTCTGTTTTGTTTTTTTTTTTGGTCCTCCCTTTACAAGGCCATAGTAATCAAAACAGCATGGTACTGGCATAAAAATAGACATATAGAACAATGAAACAATATAGAATATGGAAATAAACACATGCCTTGATGGTCAATTAATATTTGACAAAGGAGGCAAGTACATATAGTGGGATAAAGATAGTCTATTTAATAAACAGTGTTGGGAAAATTAAACATGTACAAAAAAAAAGGAAAGGAAACTAGACTACCTTCTTACAGCTCACACAAAAATAAACTCAAAATGGATTGAAGACTTAAATGTACAGTTCCACTCGTACATGTACATGGATATTTTAACAAACATATACATACTGGAAATGTATTTTCTCCCTCATGATTTTAATAATATTGTCATTTTTATTACTTTTTGTTGTAAAATAATATGTTATATAATACCTATAATATACAAAATATGTGTTAATTGTTCATATTATCAGTAAGGCATCTGGTCAACATTAAGTAGTTGATCAACATTAATAGTTGATCAACTATTAGTAGTTGAGATTTTGGAGAGTCAAAACTTACACATGGATTTTTGACCCCATAGTGGGGCAGCAACCCTAACATCTGTGTTGTTCAAGAGTCAACTCTAGTTACTATCACAGGTAACATTCACCATGGGCCAAGCTGGGCACTAGGTTGTATTTTACACACTTCAGAAAAATGTTAAGATCTGAAATTGCCATTCGTTGAAAGATCTGCGCATAACAGTGGCCCTAGACTAGCATCTGGGAACTTGGCCTTGAGAGTGTTTTCAGCGAACAGTTAACTAATATGAGTAGTTCACTTTGACTAAACTGTTTTGCCAACAGTAATGGTTTATTCTGAACACCTGCTTTCCTCTGGGAGTCTCGACTTTGGGATATGCTTGGCAAAGGATGCCTACTTGATCAGAACCCAATAGAAATCATGGACGCTAAGTCTCCAGAGAGATTCTCTGGTAGACAGCCCTTTACACATGTCACTGCAACTCATCACTAGAGGAACTAAGCATGCCCTGCAGGACCCCATGGGGAGAGGACTCTTGGAAACTTGTGCCTGGTTTCCTCCCGACTTTGCCCTGTGAACCTTCTCCCTAAGTTGATCTTGATTTGTCTCCTTTCACTGTAATAAATCACAGTCATGACTACAACTATAGGCTGAGTTCTGTGAGTCTTTCTAAGAAATTGGCAAACCTGGGAGTGATTTGGGGGATCCCTGACAGACACACACAATCCAATTGGTTCTTAAAGCCTCTCTATAACCTAAATATTAAATATGAGGAATCAGAGATTTGTAAAGACTAAGGAAGTTGACCAATATTAGACATTTAACAACAGGATATAATAAAAATTCAAATGTAGATCTCTCCTGCTTTGAACCCTGGGCTCATGAATACCCTACACACCACCCATCCGGGTTTTCTAACTCGGTGTTTCTCACACAGAATGATTATCGCTGGTGTGGTGTCATCATCACCATTTGGGCCATTGATGGCCCATTTCTAGCAGGACCTCCCTATAGTCCCCTAGAATATAAACTCTGCAAGGGGAGGGCCACATCCGTATTGGTTCCTCCCCAGGTTCTAGCAGAGTGCTTTTACGTATTAAGAAATCAATAAATATTTGTTGAATGAATTAGTGAATGATTGGATGTTTCATTTGTGTTTCCTCTTCATTGTTACAAGAACACTGTGAAGCAAGTACCAGTTAGAATTAAGCCACTTTAAATTTAAAGGTCAGAAGATATAAGATGAAACACTTTATCTCATGTCCACATAGCCTGACCTCTTTAAGAGTATAACTGAGATATTATCTAGGTCTCTTCCCATGTACTTCCCTTGTTACTGTCGGTCCCTTTTCTATTAATGTGATTAGAATGCTTAGACACTAGCTAGCTTACTGTGTGCCAGGGACCTCTCAAGTGAGGGTTATTTATATATTGAAGTTTATATCATCACTGAGTTGTTAATAGGAAAGGTGTTCCTTGTATTCATTTAGGCTTTTTTAAAATGTGGCATTTTTAACACATGTAGCACATTCCTCCAAGAACACCATGGGGTATATAAATATGAACCATAGAAGTCTTTTGACCCATGGATGTCACTATTAGAGATTAACCAAGACCAGCTCCCACAATATTTCCTTGATCCAACATTCTAAAATCATAATATTTAAGTTTCAGTTTATATGAGCCAAGTCCCAGCATAGCAAATACACAAAATGCATCCAGTACAAACAAAATATTCAGAACTTCAGCTGTTGTGTTGGTTTGTGCCAAGCAGGAGCCAGCAGTAGCGAAATCACATTCTAGGACACCAAAACATTTTGGAGAGTTCTTAAAACTGTTTGCAACAGAAATGAAATTTCAGTACTGTTAGATGTAAGAATTAAGGTCTTTTGTGTGTTCAGTTCTACATTTTAAAAAATCTAAACATCTGTTTCTTTAATTGTTCTTTGGCTCTTCCAACATAGATAACAAAGGGAAGGGCCTTTCCCTCAGCGTGGGTCTGCAGGTGCGCGCTTCCATCAGAACATGGTGGAGCGGAAAAGGAGGGGTGGTTGGTAGTATGTTATCCAAATTTGTGAGATAATCTACCCTCAGTGTTAGGAAACAGAAACATCAATGAGCACAGGTCTTGATGGTTTGACTTGGGCCACCCTTTAGCGCAGAAGTCACGCCAAACCCCACCCCAGCTCTGAATCCCAGGGGGAGTTGTCCACTGGGAGAAAAGTAAGAAAGGGGGAGTCTCATGCTACTTACAAACCACGTGCAGGAAGAGGACAGCCGTGTCCGAGCCCAAGTTGTTCTCAGCATAGGCCGTCACCTGGAAGATGCCTGCACTCTTGTACACGTGCTTGATGCCATCCTCAATGGGGCTGAAGTTCGCATAGGACACTGCAATCCCATCCCCAAAGTCAAGCTGGATGTTTGTCCTTTGGAGATCACCCTGAGGAGGGAACAGCAGTTGGCCTGGGTCCAGTCATGTGGTCCAGCCTGACCCCCCACCTAATGCTTCAACCTGTGCCTTTACCATCGCCCACTGAAAACCTTAAGTCACTCCCAGGGGGCTGAAACACCCTCAACACAATCAATGGACTCCCGGACGATACTCACTGGGCATTATGGACCTATTGTCCCTGTATACCCAAGCCCAGGCATGCTGAGGCAGTGTGACACTGGCAAAAATGGATAAGCTAGAGACCATGAAACTCTGAAGAGGGGGAGGCAAGGTCCTCCCTGGCGCCCTCATCACATGTGGTTTAATCATTCCTCTGCTGTGACACAACGATAACAACAGTAATAATAATAGTAGCAGCAAACAGTTTCTTTTCAGTTCCAAGCATTTAATTTCCCCACAACTCCATAATGCAGAAAGTATAATTGTCACCATTTTGCAAATAGGGACAAAAATGAAGTAATTAGACCAAAGTCTTGCAGCTAATAGATAGAGAGCCAAGTTTTGAACTCTGCCAGTCCAGTTTCAATGCTAATGTCCTTAACTACAATACTATAATTACAATTTTTCTCATTTTTTATTGTTATTATGTTCCAAGCATTATGCTAATAATACCACCTTCAAAATAACTCTGTGAGGATAAAATGATTATTCCCATTCTGCAGATAAACACTGCATAAGCATCTAAGGTTATGTCTGTGCTCTACTGATCTCGGACTTCCCTATATCTGCCTAAGCCCCACCTTCCCTAAAAAATGTTCTGACCCTCCCAGCTCACAGATATCTCTGCCTTTTAAAAGGCCAAAAGAATCCCCGGTGCTGTTTGGTAGCGTGATACCCATTGTTCAGATGAATGACTTTCACCACCCCAAGCTGAGGTTCAGCTTCTTAAGGGCCAGTGTTAAACCCCATCCTTCCTTGCTGTCCCCTCTGCCCATATTGGACCAACACCCTGTGTAAATGCAACTGAACTGACCACAAAGCAAAGATACCAGATGCAAAAGAAGAATCGGACCTCTGTTTAAACACAATGAAAGAGAAATGCATTGTTTTGGAATTATGAGCCAATCCTTCTGCCCCGTGAATGTGCCTCCATCATAGTTTTGCTCTCTGTCTGTTCCCCTACAGCAACCTAGATGTGAGTAAAATATTGATAGGTGCTCCCCTGCCCCACATGCAATGTCAACTACCTTTGAGTTTATGAATATAAATTAAAGTGGAAATGAACTGGAGGCAATTCAAATGGATAAGATTGTGACTCTTCATATCCACTCAAGAGAAGTTTGCTATAGCTGTCTGGGAAACTCCCTAGTGAAAATGAGATAATGACCTCCTTTGAACCTCAAAATTTTGTTTGCTTGTTTTTTAATCCAAGTTCCTAGTGGGTGAAGGCTGAAGACTCTTCCAGCTCAGGATAAGGAACCTTCACCATCCTCTCCGGTGTGAGCCTGCCTTTAAAGGTTTCTGAAGTATTTACAATTAGGAACAAAAGAAAAAAAGGGGGGGGGGGACGAGCCTCCTGACCTGTTTTGGCCTCTTTCCAAGATCTCAAGAGCACAGAGCAATTTGCATATAAATTTAGAGGGTTTTGTAAATCAGGCAAGCTTTCTTGCCCCAAAAAGCAAGGAGTGCCTAAAAACCGACCTGGTTTGGGAAGAGATGAAACAGCTCATTTAGGGAGCAGAAGCAACCAGCAGAGCTATTTCTACCCCGGAATGAATGAATGCAGTCTACTTTACTGCCCAGATTGCAGAAGACACTAGAAAATGAACTGATGGAGCAACTAGCTGATGGAAAAGCAACTAATAAGACATTCTTCATAACATCAGTTGAAAGGATTTCAATAATCCACCCCCACCCTCACACATACTGTGAAGACCCTTGCCTCGCTTTTTAATTACAGGGTGGTAAGAGTTAGAATAAAGCAAAAGAATTTCCAAAAGGCAACAGATAAAATTTGAATTTCCTTCTTCTGGCAAAGTTTACAGTATATGGTCTTATGGTGATAAACATTCTTTCAACAGAGTAGAGCCGAAGGGGGAGCCTCAAAGAATGCATCCCGATCTGCTCCGCCCAGAGACAGCTGGCCCTACCGCAGCCTGAGTCTGCATTGCTGGATGAGTGGAAGGAGGTCTCTAAACAGCTCAAGCCCCCCTCATTCCTTCTGTCTTCTCCCAGAAAACTCAGCTTTCAACACTGACTCTCATGCAGACACCTGAATACTTGACTTTTTTTCCCTTCCCTCTTAGAGAACAAAGAATGGTCTGCTTGTGAATTCTGACCCCCAAATCCCAGACTGCACCCACCTCCTCCATGAGGATGATGAAGGTTGCATTGTGCCCCTGCTCTGCCACTAGGCGTCCATCAGTTGTCACCACATGGAGGCCCCGAGGGGCTTTTCCAGGGCATAGCTGGGCCTTGGCAGTGTACTTCTCTCTCAGCCCGTCTGTGCAGTTGTTGGACACAATCCGCCGGTACCTAGGGAGTATTGACAATTGTCAGCGGTGTGATTTGTCTGGTTCGTATTGTGTGTGTCTGTTAGAAAGAGTGCCAGAGAGCAAGGCAGACATTTTGCACAGTGCTTCTAAAAACGGAGTCTCAAAGAAGACAGCCATTTAGGAAGCTAAACAAATGCTGAGGAAGCACTATCCCTCCATCTCAGGAAGAGTAGCTCTTTAAACATCATTATTGATCCTACCTGGTGAGCCACAGATCAGATCAGTGTCTAAACCAGCCAAGAAAAATCAATGTCTGACTCGCACATAAGACAGGAGGAGGCGGACCCACTGGACTATGTGAGCAAGAAGAACAGGTGCTTTTCTCTGTGAGTGAGAGACTTGTTTCTAGTACCCCGAGGCCAAACCCTGCTTTTTCTGTACCAGAAAGCAGCTAGGAGATGAGATTTCGAACTGATTAATCAGAAAGCCTCTCCTGTCTTTCCTCCACCCCCAATACATCACTCTATACCTTAATAACTAACAGTCCTTACTCTGGACCACGGGGATATTTTACAGAATATTTTCTCCCTTTATTAATATTTCATTTCTTACCACAACCACAGATTAGAAGCATAAGTTTGAAACTCATATTCAACCCAGCTGAGGTGAAATTATCTTGGATAGGAAGTGAGCATGAGAAAACCTTCTAGGGCAAGGACATGTTTGTGCCCAGTGATGCCATGTCAATGTACTTGACACTGACCCCAGCACGTGATGTCAAGCCAAGAGCTTGGCCACAGCCCTGATCTGCATTACAGACCTCTCTCCAGGCATATTGCTATCTATAAGGTTGCATAAATTCAACATTCTGGTTAAATCAGATACAATAAATGCACCACCACTACCATCATTATTATCATATTTTTTCTTTCCCTCTGTGTATCAGGAATAATTAACCAATCTATCCACGTTGTCTTCCTCTGGTGGTCTTAAAAGCAGAAGAAACCAAATGCTATGGATAATACTGACCCTCCTCTATACAGGATATTTCTCTTGGAATCTCATGAAGATGTTAGACTAATGTTGTATGTAGTTATTGGCTGAGATGGACTTACAATATATCCTCTTGTAAATGTACATTATCTTAAATTGCCAGCTGTGTGCTGTTGAGTACAACTAGCCACTTTCTACCTATGGCTATTGAACACTTACAATGTGGTTAGTGTTACATGTTAAAATGACATGCAATGGTATATTGGGTTAAATAAAGTACTTTATTAAAATTAATTTCACATTTTTATTTTTCACTGTGGCTACTGAAAAAATTAAATTACTCATATGGCCTATATTATAGTTCTTCTGACCAGTTTTAGTCTATATAATCAATCTTTTATAATCAATTTATACTTTATTGTTAACCTTTAGTCATTCTTAAGATATTTAGCTTTTACTTATGATAGAAATTTTGGTGGGTAACATATCCTAATGCAAACTGAAATGTACTCTCCTTTTTCAGCCTCAACTGCCCAGCTGGCAGTTTGGAGTTAATGCTGTGAATAAAATGAATAGTTCATGTCCTTGATTGATTTGGTTGGCTATTTAGGATTTTACTAGATTTAAATTACTTAAAATTGGGTCCAACTACACATGTTACATGGTCATATGATTTGTCTTAATGCAATTATCTTCCAGTCACACCCCAGGTGTGCTCTGGTTGGAAATTGGGGGGCCTAGCTGAGCACCTGTGCCCATTATATTCCTCTTCCTCAAACTTCACAGCACTTTGGTTTCTGATACCACATCTCTTTAAGTTCATGCTGCTGAATCTGTATTTCGAATGGCTTAAATCCTTAAACCAGACACCTACAATAAAATAACATTAAAAGTGCTTAAATCCCAACTCAGACCTCAGGAATAGTTCCCTAAGAACTAAACATTTGGATAAAAAAATTGTTTTTCAGAGTGTCTCAGTCTACTCAACACATCTCTTCTACCATGTTTTTTCGATTTTTCCTCTCCAGATATCAGTTGGGTAGAGAGTACCCACCACTGTTTACAACCAGCTAAGGTAGAAGCATGGAGGGGGGTAACCTGTGTGTCATGGCAGCCGGTGTACTGAAAGAGGTGAGGCTGGAGTCCGGAGCACCTTTGTCCCCGGCTACTTGAAGGGCATCCTGGAACTCACATGAACATTTCTTAGAAACAAAGAACCTCAGTGCCACTTAAATCTCCCAAATCAGAAGGTGCATTTGAACAAGATCCCCAGGTCATTCAAATGCCATTAACGCTTGAAAAGTGCAGCTTTAGACCAACTGGTCCCTTTCTAAACCTCTGCTAAGCCATGGAGTTGGCCAAGGAAAGGGGACAACAACAAATCTCCAAGGAAATTTCTTTCCAAGCATCTGAGTGAGAAACTAACAAGGGAACAATGAGAGAATCGTACACATAATTTGACAATTACAGAAAGTATGCCTTGACTTTCTTACTCTAGGACTTCCTAGGATAAAGCTTTTAAACTTTCATTCTAAGTTTCAGCATTGGTCTGTGAGAGCTTCATTCAGTTCAACCATCATTAGAGAGCATTGCATTATCTGTGCACCCCTCATGTTACTTTATTTCCCTCAGGCCCAAGGAATAAGGTGGGACATCTCTTTCCAGGAGAAAAGTCCTGATCAAAACAATAGCTACATTCTGACAAATGGCAAAAGGTATAGAAATCTGGTAATCGGAACTCTCTTCTGACATTCCCCAAAAGCTACTGTCAGCAAAGGAACTCCTCAGCCTTCCTCAGAAACCACATAAACCAACTCCACGTTCCATCATGCTTCCCTAGCGATGCTCCCTTTAATCATGGCTCAGAGGAACACAAAACTGGCGAGTGGAGTTCCTTCAGTTGTGTTACTTACCCGGTGCTGTTAAGGTAGCTTTGACCAAGGCTGCAGTCCTTTGATGGGGATGCTGGATTGTACCAGAAAGCTGGGACACACTGGCTCTCTCCATGTCTCTCATAGCCATAGTCACTGTCGGGAACATGAACATTGCACAGTGGTATTGATGTTAACCCAGATGCACACACAAACAGAAACACATTTCTCTATTCCCAGTGAGAGCAAATATTCAGACTTGGAGAACGGATTTTTAGATTATAAACAACCCTAAGTCATATGGAGTCCAGTGTATAGAGAAAAATAATAGTGGGTTATCATGTGGAGATTCTAGGTTTGAAAAGTATGGATATATTTTATACATAATGTGGTGGGGACATTGGTTTGGGGTAGGTGTGAAGGATGCTATAAGCTTAAAAGTGTATTTTGGATCACAATGGAATTGCTGAAACAATTGGAAGTAACAACCAAGAAGATGGCTTTAAAGGTCAAGATTTATTTCCAGCCCTGGCTGGTGTAGCTCAGTGGATTGAGCGTGGGCCTGCAAACCAGATGATTACAGTTCTATTCCCAGTCAGGGCACATGCCTGGGTTGCAGGCCAGTTCCCAGAAGGGGATGCATGAGAGGCAACCATGCATTATGATATTTCTCTCCCTCTCTCCTCTCTTCTTCCTTTCCCTTCTAAAAGATAAATAAATAAAATTTAAAAAAGGATTTATTTCCATGTTAAGATTCCACATGCGTTCTTCACAAATTGATTTCATAGATTTTATTTTTCTTTTCCCTGCCATTTATTTCTCAAGCATTTTACATATAGCCATCTGCATTCATATATAGCCATTCAAATTTTTCCCAACTACATATAAGATAGGTTCCCTCTTATCCTAGACAACAACAAAAACAAAACAAACCAAAACCAGAAAACAAAAAGCACCCCTAAAGTGTAGTTCTTGTCCACGATTTCATAACACACTAGCCATAACAAAACTAAGAAATAAAGCCGGGTATGACTCCCTTCTCATTTCTGCCCCATTCCACAATAAGAAAATAATAAACAGTACGAAAGAGGAGGGCCCCATGTGAAATGTTAATATTTCCTTACTTAGAGTTTCATAGCCTCCCAGTTAAGTATTTGTCAGGATATAAAAAGAGCAATAAGTTATTACTGCTCTTGTTACCAATTAGAGGTCATCGAGGGTGACTTTGTTTGGCAGGAAAACTCCTGCTTCTCGGTTTAAGCATCCAGGGGTTTCCTGAAACCCACAGACCAGGCAGAACACTCTGGGTATCTGATCCACTGAGTGTTAATAAAATATAAACAGCAAGAGAAGTCATTCTGTCTGGGCCCACTCCTCTTTCCTTTTTCTGCTCCCATATTCTTTGAGCCAAGATTTAATTAAAGTCCAATGAAATTAGAGGCCAATTTTCTATGTGTGTAAGTAGGATAGGGGTGAAAGGGAGATAGGAATAGAAGTTTAATGCCACATTTCTTTATCACTCAATACATGACCTGTCCTGCAGAAGAAGTAGGATAATCCCTATCCTTAAGGGGTTTTTAGTCTTTTGAAGAGAGTGATACAACATGCCTCAAATCCAACAAAAGAACAGTATAATTCAGTATGAAGCAGTACAGTTAAGAAGTACCAACCAGTTAATGAGATTATATAAACTATCTCCCAGTTTGACCCCATCCTTCCTTCTCACCACCTTCCCCCACACCAAACTCTGTCTGAACACTCAGGCCAACTTTTCATCCCTCTCTGTCTTTGTTAAAGATTACCCCCTGGGCCTGAAGCACTCTACCCTTTTCTGTGTTTGGCAGTTTCCCATGTATCTTTCTTCTATGTCTAGGTCAGATGAGACCATCCATGATTCCCAGACAAAATTTTCATGGCCATAGTATGTTAGAAACATTGAGGCTATAAAGGACCAGAGACCTCTGTTGGTTTTGTTTGCCAATGTGAGTCTGAAGCAAACCCTAGGACACTGAATAAACATTTACTGGGTGAACGGACACTCCAATTACATGTAAAAATGATTGCACTACATTATGCCACTGCACTTGGTCTGCATGGTGACTGTGGGCCCACAGTTGACCTTCCCGTGTGGACCACAGAGAGTACACCAAGTGCTCAACAGATGCCTGTGGAGTGAGCCCGTTGTTTCAAATTGCTATGTGGAAAGATGGAATTCAATACCAGCTTTGATATGACCATGTTTAAATGCAACTGAAAGAAAAGGAGAAAGTAAGTATCTGTCAGGTAAGTCTTTTGTCATGCCTTCTAATCCAGGGCTGGAGAACTCCCAGCCTGAGAACTGATAGGGACTCTGTGGGGTACCAGTTTGTAACAATCCGTGAAAAGCCAGCTTGAAATCCCAGGGATTTTGCAAGCTATTCAATGGCTAGTAAACAAAGTCATTATTAAAACTTAAGTAATATAAAATTTCAATTAAATAAATTATATTGGAAAGGTAATAACTATTCAAAACACAGAACTTCTTCATTATGTTACCTCATGTTATTGTTATATAATATATAGTATATAAATGTTATTATGTATTTTTCTATTATTTATGCTCTTGAGGTTATTTACATCTAAGTACCTGCATACAGGAAATGATACTGTATGATTCTGTGCTATTACACATCTCTGCCCAATTCTGCATTCACTGATGTCATGCCAGTGGCTTGGAATCAACCATGGCAGGAATATTTATAACAATCAGCAAATGCTACTAATCAGGGCTTACTTATTTGCTTGTTCCCAGAAAGCTGGTAGTTAAATATTTACCAGCACACAACCGAATATCTGATTTCTAAGCATTGTTTATCTGTAGAAACATTTAGCTTGTGGTGTGCCTACCTTACTTCTAGAAAATTGCCCAAATGGTTTTTATAAGGTAAATCTGCTGAATGTCTTGCTAACTTTAAGAAATTCAGTCATGTTTGAAGGAAGGGTGGGGTCTTCCTAAGCAGCTTTGGGAAGGAGAGAAATGCCTTAATGCTCTTTGATGAATGTAACCATTTTTAGCCATTCTGTTCAGCTCTGCTACCTGTTAGTCACATAAGTAATTAAAAAGGGGCATCAAGCATGCTGCTTTGCCCCAAAGAGAAAAAGCACCCCATTAATATTTAATAGCATTAATGGAAACATCACTGGCTGCCCCCAAGCTGTGGATTTCTTCATTAACTTCTGCTAAATGTATATTAAAATCTCTCATACTGTCCAACCCTCCTCCCAGCTCTGGAGTTCGCCTGATTTAGACAAACAAGCAGTTTCAGCTGCTGCTCCAGCTTCCTGGGGAAAGGTGTTCTTCTGTTGAATTGTGAATTTTAGAGCAAATGTAGCAGGAAGTTTGTGTTGCCCTGGGGAAGTAGGCTGCCACAGGTTCTGCCGACACACAGGCAGTTTCCTTCCAGAAATGCCACCTCTGTGTGTTTCATTAGAGGGTTTAGTGCTTCTGAAAGTTTAGGGGAAAACTTGTCCCTTTCTTGGAACCTGGATGTCCAAATCCCACCCTGAGATTCAGGGAGAAGTCTTAGACACCTAAAGAAGAAATTACATCTTCCGAATCAAAGGTCTCTCTCTGCCTGTCAGAAGAGGAAGGGACACTTGTATGCCTTGGGGTCTATCCCCTCAGTTGATGAATTAGAAAAGAGAAGCAAAAATAGAAGAAATGACTTGTTAAAGATTGTACATAACTGATAACTGATAATGGCAGACAGAGGTGACAATCAAAATTCTTGACCCCTGGTTCAGCATTTGAACGATCCCAAGGGGCACCAATTTCATTCCCAAGAATGACACTCTGAGACCCTTGGAACCAGCCAAGAGTTCATCTGCTGGCCCAGCTGCAGGGCCTCTGCTCTTCTCAGAATCTGCCAAGCCCCATCATAGTCCCGCTGACCCCCGGGTTCTCCATTCTCCCATTTGGCAGTTTAGATTCCAAGATTGTGTTCCACGGGTGCTTCTCTCCCACTTTAGGAGACAGCACAACATGCTGGGGTTGGAATCAAACAGGGAGAGTTTTTTTTGAGGAGGCACAGAATGTACAGTCAACAAACAGAAGAACCACAACAAAAACAGTGGAATAATAACATCATCATCACTTAGCTAAGGCATAAGCCTAAATACAGCTATAAAGATAACTACATGCAAATCATTTCAGAAACTGTTGAAAAAAACCAACAATGGTGCCGCAATCTTTCTCCTAATCCAACCCCATGCTACTCATCTGCCCTTATTCCTCTGGTCATCAAGAATACCCTCATATATCTGCTTTCCTTGAAATGATGCCCATTTTCCTTGTACTTACTCAGCAGGAAGCTCACACAGCTCCATCACTGCCTCCTGCAGGAAGCCTTTCGTCATTATTCCAGTCTTTGGTGATCCCTTTGCTCTGACCTTTTCTAGCACTTACGGGTAGGATCAGTAATGTCCCCTGGAACTTTCTGTGATAACGGAAGTGCTTTATATCTATGCTATATGTAATATGGTAGCCACTGGCTTCATGTCACAAAAGAACACTTGAAATATGGCTAGTGCAAGTGAAGAGCTGAATGTTTAATCTGATTTAATTTTAATGCAAATAACCACAAGTTACTAGTGGCTACTCTACTGAATAACACATATCTGGGTCATGAATTCAGCATCTAAGTGCACTCTTTATTATTTGCTCTTATACTTTTTTGAGTTCAATAACTCTGGCTTACACATCTTTGACTTTTCCATAATGCCTACGCTATAGAAAAAAATGCCTGACTGTGCTCCATATGCAGAATAGGAAAGGCTGGATGGGTTTCAGATGTCTGAACTGATATGCTGTGGTTCCCCAGATCTCTTCTGCTCTATCTTCTATATTAGCACTTTGTAAACTAGCTCTGTGGATCTGGAACCTACTGACCATGGCAGACACTAAGGCATAGTAAGACTTAGGAATCTGCAATCATAATGTTATTAATTTGAGTGCTTTACTTCACCTCCTGTGTCCACATTTCTTCATCTATAAAATGTCCATAATCACAGGCTCTTGTTCTAGCACTTGTTGAGAAAATTAACTTAATCCATCTAAAGAACTTAGCACATAGTAGGTGCTCAGCAAGAGTTATTGCTACTTAAACAGTTAGTGGAGTGACTAAGAAAAGGTTCTACCCCTAGGTGGAACCTCTGGTCCAAGCTGCTTTCTCACCAAGCAAGAGCATCGAGACCTCTCAGAGGGCAACTCACTCCCAGGAGCCCTGATACAACTTTGCAGCTGGCCCCTTATGTGACCTTTTCTGACTATATACTGTTCTCCGACAAACTTAAATCCTCGGGGAGGATTTGTTCTTGGCTGCTCACCAGTACCAAACAGAAGGTTGTGGCAAAGTGGCTCTCTAGGGTAAACATGAGGCTGGGGGTTTACAAGGCTATTAAGTAAAAAACATTATTATTCATGCAAAATTCATGCAAGAATAACACGTGCTGTGGATGGAGGGTAAAAGTCAGTGGTAGTCCACAAACACACACTTCTAAAAAATCTATCAAACCTTCCCTCTTCAGGCAGAGGAGGGACACAGGTGGGTAACACCCCGCCTTTTTGCATCCAGGCTGTGCTTAACTTTTCCACCCAAAGCAAGAATTTGATCATCCTGCCCAGTCTCCACCCGCAGACCCCGTCCGACTGAATTAGATTATACCCTCTACCTGCTGTCCCTGAGACCTAAAAGTATCCTGGACCAATCAAATGGCTAAGACCTGATCCGGTTTAGGGAAACGACTAGGTGGAATATGCATGATTATCACCTATACTAACTGAGCTGGGAGCCTCAGATTCCTTAGCTAATAACACTTCCTGGTAGGAGGGACCATTGAGAAGGGGACAAGGCTATGACACTGTGGCTATCCACTACTTTCTGGTGTATACATTAAAGACAAGCAGGCAAAGTATATTTGATGGAAAAACTATACTTTTAACTGACAGCTATGATTACTGAAGTTTACTTAAAAACAAAAAGACAATTTTAAACCCTCAGTTCCATTATAAAAAGTGGAATCACTATAAAACCCAGCACTTTTAGAAATCAAGTCACCTACTCCATACTCAAAAATAGTACAGAATACTTGTTAGACCATGGGATACTTTTGCTGTTGTTCTCAGATTATGACCAGTAACCTGGCATCCAGCCTTATGTGTCTGTTTGTCCTACATCAGACTTAGGTGTTCTTTCTATCTTCTTTTTAATATAAGGTATGATTGGCTATAGAAGGACATATAATATCTTACATATCTCCTCAAAGTCTTCTTGAACACCATAACCTATTAAAATTCCAGTTCCAATGAGCAAATCTACTTCATTTATAACTATTTTAGAGTTAATGGAACATCCCATGTTAAACTTCATCAATGACAGTTAACCTAGGTCATTTAAAGTTGAGTGTTAATTTTAGAATAACTTAAGTTGGGAACCCTAATCATTCTGAAACACAGAGTAAATTTCAAATAATAAAGACTTGCTTGACTTCTTGAGAAATGGCATGATATAGAGGAGAGAGCATGGGATTTAGCTCAATTTACATTTGGACCCAGGTCTTTCTCTCCTAGTTATGTGACCTTGGTCAAGTAACTTACATTCCACATGCTTATTTTCTTCTCATTAAAATGCTATAGTAAGATGCCAACACTACAAGGTGTCGGGTCCAGATGGCCTCTACCCGTGCAAGTGTGAGAACCACAGAACACCTTGTAGGGACCTCCCCCGACCTGTCCCCTGCTACTTTACGTATGGATGCATTCTGAAAGCAGTTCAAAAGAAGGGTTTAGAAATATTTTCAGCAGTGCCACCAATATCGGAATGAATAGATAACACCCAAAGGTACAACTTTAAAGATGGTGCTTAATTGAATGTATGAGCTCTGGTTTACCTGCAAGAAATACCACAGGGATCACTTAACCCTGTGCTACAAGATTAACAACAGCAGCAGCAACTGCTACCATATGGATATCTACACCGCTAGGATAAATGCCTTATCCGCATTAATGATGTATATTAATTCATTTATTCCTCCCTAGGACCCAATGAGATCTCTGGTATGTGTTTGTATTTTATAGCTGAGAAGGTGAAATCAAAGAGATGAAGAAAGCCCCTTGCCTCCCACCTCAGGGTCAAAAACTGTGAATATCAGAGCTGTCATTTTTTATTCAGAATAGTACATGTTAATAGAATCGCTGAAACAAATATTTATGCTACAATTCTTGTTCTTTCTGAACTGTGAGTTTCCCCAACAATGGGTGAGGGACCATTACAACTCAGAGAGATGCAGGAGAAAATGTAGTGTGATATACGGAAAGACAGCATGCTCCATGCAGTCAGTCTGCAGAAGGACACAAAGAAGCCCGATGCTCAAATTCTGAATATTTAGGCTGACATAAATATGTCACGCACAATAATTCTGAGTGGCCTACTATATACATTGCTATGACTACTTGGCTGAATTGTGGTTAATAATTGAGAAGTATTCTCTCCAAGTGTGAAAATATCTTTTGTTTCCAAAGGGTCGAAATTGCCACAGAGTGAACCCTGACACTCAGATTTAAATTTCATTTAGCACAACCCATTTGGTCGATTCTTCCCTGGTTCTTCTTCTAAGGCGTGAGTCCAGGGATGAGGAGCAGGTAGGAGGCACTCAAAGTCATCTGGCTGGCTTACAGTTACTGTCAGAGGAGAAAGTGGCTTCTGGCACAAATCAAGTTGAAGAAACAGGATGGATGAAATACTATGAAATAGGGGTGAGGCTGCTGGCTGGGCAAGGGCAGCCATTCTGTGCCCATTTGGACTCATTTCAGTTACTTAACATCAGAAAAGCCCCAATGTAATTGTCATTGTTTTGCCCCTTCCATTGTTATAGGCTCATACCTGAGCCCTTAGCTTTGTCTCTCAATCTGAAATGGCTTATTAAAATGAGTCAACTAAACATCAGCTTTTGACAGAGATGTGAAGAAGTACTTCATCTAGCTGGGATCAGAGTGACATGTGCCCATTCCCAAAACTGGGAAGGTTTTTGACTCTCCTAGAAAAACAGCATTCAGAAACACAGTACGACAATTTGCTGCTTTACTACCACTTAGGCACTATGGAGAGAACTAAAACTCCTGCACTCACAGGACTTATGGCCTACTGGGGAAGATAGGCAACAACAAAACCATCAGAAACATGATTGCTCCACACAGTGACTAATACTAATAAGATGAAACAGACTAATGGTCCACAGAGCACTGGGGTGCAGGTAAGATTAGGTGATCTCGAAAAGCGTTTCTGAGGAAATGATATTTTTACTGAGACATGAGTGATCCAAACATGCCAGCCATGCTGAAATCTTGAAGACATCCTCATGCATACCACTTCCTCTGCTAGGAATAGGCCTGGATTAATTAAAGTACAGGATATCACAGTGTGGCTGCAAAACAGTAAACAAGGGAAGAACGGTAAGAAATTAAGGCATGATGGCAACAGCAAGCCAAATCACCTACCATGAAGCAAGCCAGGGAAAAAAGATTTGGTTATATTTTAAGGGTGAAGGCAGTATTCTCAGGACAGGAGTGATAAGATCTGGTTTTGGCCTTTAAAATATTACTCTGGTTACTGTGAGGAGGATAGATTAAATGATGAAGGGTGGAAATAGAGAAGCAATCAGTAGACTGTTGGAAAGGTCCTGACAGTGGTAGATGTGGGTGAAGGTACTTTGAGTTAGAATGGATTTTGGAAGTAGAGGCTTGCACAGACTTGCAGGTGACTTGGGTGAGAAAAAGGGGGAAGTCAAGCTCTCCTGGGACTTTGACTTAAGTAAATAAATGGATATCTGTGAGCTTTATTGAGGCGGGAAAAACTTGGACTCTGTGGGGATTGAAGATGAACTGAAAAACTCCTTCCAACAGTGGTGATTCGGCAAGAGCTCTGCTTTGGCCACATGAAGTTCCACTCAAGGGGAGATGAGTGTGGAGCAGATCCATGAACACAAATGTCTCCTGCTAGAGGAGAGGGAAGACAGAGCTGAAGGGACATACTGGGAAATTTGTGAGTTATTGGCTAATGCATGAGGTTTCACATTGTTCCTTGTGGTTGTCATTGGAGGGAGGCATAAAAGTGATGACAAGAGTTCAACTGGAAGAGCAAACTTGTCTGGAGGTTACTACTCAAGGCAGCAGCTCTCTGAGCTCTGTCAGTGCCCAGACTGACCTGTCTGGTACTTGCCAAGCTGCTCACTGAAGATAAGAAGTCCCCATGGATGTGATGCTCTGATAGAACAGTGGCCTTCCCTGTGAGAATGCCTCTTTCTGTCCCATGTATGGGTGCAGAGTTCTTATCAGTCCCAGGAACTAGAGTAGTTGGCCCCACAGACCAGTAGTTCTTTCCCTAACTCATCTTCATTCTCACCCCACCACCAAACAGATAAACGTCTCGTTGAAATTGGCATTGAGAGGTCAAGGGACTCACCACTCAAAGTCCGAGTCGGCACAGACACAGGGTTCTGAGACCACTGTCCCTGAGGAGTCTCGGCTCAGGGCACACTGAGCTCCTGGCTTCCGTTTCTTGAATATTTTCCTTTCTCCCATGACACAAGGTTCTCCCTTAGAAAGAAAGCCCATAGTGAGAGAGGCAGAAACACACAAAGAAGGTGCATAATATCAGCTTCTCAACAAGAAGAGTCAGGCTTTTCATTCTCTTTTGCTCATTTTGTAGCACTCTCCTTCCAAGCAACCATTTGGGAGTGTCAAGGGTAAAAGGGCTACCCTTTTACTAGCACACCAAAAAAACACTATGCAAGGCTGGCCTATCACTCTCCCCAGCCCCCACCCAACGTAGCCAGTGATGTCTACTTTGTCCTGTTTCTTCTCCACCTACATAAGGGGTGCAAAGACTCTAGTCATCCTCACAGGCCACCAGGCCATTGCCCAAATGGCTTCAGCTGGAATTTTAGTGGAAAGGATTCCACTTCAGGCATGTTTTGTCATCATCTTCAGAGTAAAACTGAAGTTGACCTGAAGCTCCTTCTCTATGATAAATAACCATGCCCAAGTCTTTATTCCTAGTCAAGGGCAAAAAGAACAGAAGTTGGCACAAAGGACAAGGACCCAAAGGTTCTAAAGAACACGGAAGCCTGACTCTGTGGTGTATCAGTAAATAACAGCTATTAGTAGAGCCCTCACCCCCACCCCTCACTCTTTCTTCATGGTCCTGTTCCCAGTGCTCTTGGGCCCTTGCTCCAGGCTAGTCGGAGAAAGGCTTCACCCTCCCCAGGGGAAGGTAAAATGATTGAAGCATCGGAGGGTTGGCCCCCTAGCTGTCTGGGCTCATTTCTCCATGGATAGAGCCAAAACCCCTAGTTATCTTTCTTTCTGTGATCCTACCCCCTTCTTCTCAGTGACTTCAATGAGTAAATTAGGATCCTAGGGTGAGAAATGGTCCCAAAATACCATCTAACCCTACTGCACCTGGGTATGTGAGCTTCAGCCCTTCCCTCAAGTCCACCATTATCCTTAGAGGATCCACTGCTTTCCTCCTCCAGATGGGAAGGGCCAGATGTGACCAACAGGCCTTTCAATAGTTCCTCTTCCTAGAAGCCAGCGTTCCACCCCCCACCTGACCTCCCATGTGGTGTACCTGATTAAGTAGGTGCCAGGTCTGATAGTCTTCCTTGGTGCAGTGCCGGCTAAAGATAGATTTGTAGTCCACTTTCACCAGCTGCCATTCAGAGCGGAGACTGAAGTGGCCAAAGACTCTGCATTTAATAGAGGAACAGGAAAGACAACAGAGAAAGCCTCACAGTCAGTCACTAATGCACCAACACGGAGGGTGGATAGAGGACTGAATTGCAGCCTGGACTTTACCAGTTCTCCCAAAGTATGTTCTTTGAAAGCCATGGAGTAGAGAGTCCACAGCATATTCAACACCAACCAAATGCATGGCATTCACACTGGATTCAAAAACCAACCTTTTTAAATTGCAATAGCAATATATGTACTTTATAGGAAAAATTTAAAATATAGAAAAGTATGGAGAAGGAAAAATTCGCCCAGTAGTCCAAAATCCTGCACCCAAAGAGAACTGCTGTTTATAACTTGCAATACAGCCTTGTATGTCCTTAATTCCAAGCAATGTTTTCTTTGCTGATGTCCACTGATGAGGACCCAGGTTCCTTACCTGTAAAGTAGATTGTATTTATGTGTGTTGGGACAGAGGTGGGTTAGCTAATTAAAAGTATGACCCTGCCGATGCCAAAATTTTGACTGAATAGAAGGGTTTCATTTTACATTCCCATTGCATAATTCCTATGAATACCACCCTCTTCGCCCCTTCCCTGAAAAATCACAGGAGTCTCATAAAAGAAGCTCATATTTATGTATAGTGAAGAAGCACGCCATGTGTGTGTCTTAGATAATCTATATCAACCTTTTAAAAGCCCAGCAGTTGACAGCCCTATAAACATGAATAATTAATTATTTCTATAAAAATAGATTGGTCATCCATACTCCACTCAGGTGGCATGTCTTGTAATTACAATGCAAGACATCTATTACAGTGATGTAAAGGGGAGACCAATCATGCTGGGAACTTACATCAACTGAAGTCTTTCAAGGAATTGGATGGCTTTCATTTCATCAAGACTTAATCATGCCCCCAGCCCTGGATTTTCCTCTCCCCAAGTTCAAGTACTTTTATAGGGCCACCGAGAGAGTAACTCTCCTCAGGGGACATCTCCTTCTGCTATCTGAAACACGAGGATATTTTTGGGGCTAGTTAAGATGGTAAAATAGGGAAAGAAATAGAATTGTTCTATAGATCATACAACTTAAAATACACCTCAAGAAATGACTTTTAATGTTCTAATGGTTCAACATTAAATAAAACTTTTTAGAGCTTTGTCTAAAGAAGATTAAACAGACTTTGCGGAGGAGACTGATGGTCCCTACTTTTATAAAGTTATACGGTCTCTGTATGAGTCTTACATCAGCACTGGGTAGTGGAAACAACGAGTCTGAATATCCTGGATCATATGCCCAATAAATGCTGTGTGGAGCACAGCAAACTTAATGTATCTTCCCTGGTTCTCCCTGTTCTCTTGCATTTTTTCTATGTCCAGTGCCCTTCTTACCCAAGACACCCATACCAGGTCTCAACTAAGGTATTTCCACCTTTTAGTTCTAATTCATTTCATGGAGAGGTCATGAGTCAATCCATTTGAATACTTTAACAAAAGAGTTTACTCTTTAAAAAATTCTATGTTTGAAGAAATGAGAGTTAAATTGAAAGCTCATCAGGAAAAAAAATAGTGGCAGGAGACTTTGATGAATGCCTGTTCCTTCTCTACCCAGCCTATCAAAACCCTGCTACATTTAAATGCCACCTCCCCTAGCAAGTCTCCCCTGATTGGAGTACTCTGAGTAGCTGGATATTAGTGATGCTAAACCAAGCATTCTGCCTACTCCAAATAGTTTACAGTTATTTCATGGATCATAAAATACATCATGTCAGATTAATCCCATTCCTTTCTGTGAAAGGATTACTGGGCAGACAGGAGAGGGAAATATGAGGCACATGATTTACCTATCAGCCAAGCATCTGACACGGTCTGCCACAGCAGTCTTGAAAAAAAGATGAAAAAATATGAGCTAGGCACTAGTAAAACTATGTGGTTGAACAGCACCTAATTAAGGCATTAAAATCAGCCACGAGGGAGGGTGTGAGTAGTAAGCAGTGAGGTTCTGCCGTCTGCTCTTTCTTGTTCATCATTTTTATGAATGACTTGAAGACATGAAAATAATGGTCATTATTGAAAATCACATTCTCCAATGACATAAAGCTGGAAGAAACAGTCAATATACTTGATGGCAGAATCAGGACCCAAGAAGGACTTGACAGAACGAGACACAGGTTTAATTCAACAGCATGTGACACAACAGGAAGAAATGCCGACCCCTCCCCTTGGCAGCTACATAAATATGAGATAGGAGAAATGGGGCTTGGTGAAACTCAGTGATAACAACAACAACAATAATAAGGGCAGCTTAAGAGTTTTAATATACAATGTGATTAATACAAGCATACACGTCAGAGAGACAAACATTTAAGGTGATATCAGAATACATTAATACAGAATTATGTATCAATGTATTATCTAGAACAAAATAGACAATATCATGGTCTACTCTACACTAGATCACAAAGAACTGTAGTTAATTTTGTATGTCATCATTCAATAATGATACAGACTAAGTATCTCAATAGACAGTATATGTATAGGCTTTGGTGGTGATAGTGGAGTTTGAATCTCCTGAAATTTTAAGTAAAAATATATATATTTATTGGCATTTGTTTTTATCTACAAAGAAATTACATATATTTTATCAGATTTTCAAAGGGGTTCAAAGTCTCCAAAATTTAAGAACCATTGAAAAAAGAGTGATTAGGATTATGTACTGAAATGAATAGTGGCTTCCCAAACAAATAGGACCTGAAACCTAAGAGTGAGAACTGATTTGGACAAAGGTCTTTGATTTGTAAATTAAGAATCTCCAGATGCCTTTATCTTGGATTATCAAGGTGAGCCCCAAATCCAGTGTAACCCAGCAGCCCTTCTGGGTATCTATATCCCAAATGTTCAAACATTTATTTGTGAAGATTTATGTACCTATATGTTCATGGCTGCATTATACACTGTAGCTAAGATCTGGAAACAAAAGTGTCCCTCAGTAGATAATTGGATGAAGAAGATGTGGTCCATATATACACAATAAAATAATCCTCAGCCATAAGAAAAGATGAAATATGGTCATTCGCAACAGCGTAGTTGAATCTTGAGAGTATCACATTAAGCAAAATAAGTCAGATGGCAAAAAGAACCATATGATTTCATTCATATGTGAGATATTAAACTGAAAAAAATAAATGAACAAACAAGACAAAAAAACACAACCCATAGACATGGACAACAGCATGTGGTTCCCAGAAGGAAAGGTGGGTGCTGCGGAGGAGGTAGAAAAGTGTAAAGGGGACAAACACATGGTGATGAAAGGAGAACTGACTTTGGGTGATAAACACACAATGCAATATACAGATGATTTCTTACAGAACTGTGCACTTGAAACCTGTATAATTTTATTAACCAATGTCACCTCAATAAGTTTAATTAAAAATAACAAAAAATAAAAAGAAGAAAGACATGCAGAGAGGAGAAGACCAGGTGAAGACAGAGGCAAAGATGGGATTTCTGAGGCTACAAGTCAGGGGACACCTGAAGCCACCAAAAGACGGAATAACAGGACAAATCCTCACTAGTACACTAGAAGGAGTGTAGCCCTGCTACCATTTTGACCTAGGACTCTGGCCCTCAAAACTGTGAGAAAACACATTTCCATTCTTTTATCCAACCAATTTGTGGTAATTTATTGCAGCAGCCACGGGGAAGTGATATAGATGACTATATATGATTCAAGACCACTTTTCATCTCTCTGTTGAAGAAGTGCTATAAATATGATAGCTAACCTACCTGGAGATGACTTAGGAAGGGGCAGGAGAGAGAAGACCAATAAGGGGGCATTCTAGAGAGATCTCTTGAGTATTAAAAAATAACAAAAAACAAAAGTGAAAATTTAAAAAATGTGAAAGATCTTTCCAATGCCCATAGAGAAAAGGACGCTCAAGCATTAGTAAGCACAGAACTTCAAGTTCAGGCTTGGCCATCTCCCAGAGCTCTGGCTGCAGGGGATACAAGCATCATTCAGGTGCATGGCCTAACTGACCCTCAGTCTCTGGGGATGTTCATGGTGTTTTTTCCCAGCTCTTTGTGATGTCTGTTTAGGATCTCAGAGTGCTCATTTCAAGATTGAACACAAAAACAGGCCCCCAGTCAGGACTTGCTGGCTAATCCAGATTCTTCTCTTCTGCATTCTTTGTGGGTGTATTTTTTTCATCTATATTTCTTTGGTTTCTATCCCAGGTTTTCTTAGACTGTGTGTCCCAGGTCTTTCCCCAGACTGTATATTGATATACTAATATTTTCTTTTAAAAAATATATATTTTATTAATTATGCCATTACAGTTGTTCTATTTCCCCCTTCATTCCCCTCTGCCCTGCATACCCCCTCCCCCAACATTCCCCCCTTTAGTTTATGACCACGTGTCTCAAGTTCTTTAGATTCTATATTTCCCATACCATTCTTGCCCTCCCCTATCTATTTTCTATCTACTGTCTATGCTACTTATTTTCTGTACCTTCTCCCCCCTTCTTCTCCTCCCACTCCCCTGTTGCTAACCCTCCATGTGATCTTCATTTCTATGGTTCTGCTCCTGATCTAGCTGTCCTCTTAATTTGCTTTTGTTTTAGGTGTGGTTGTTAATAACTGTGAGTTTGCTGTCCTTTCACTGTTCATCTTTTTTATCTTCTTTTTCTTAGGTAAGTCCCTTTAACATTTCATATAATAAGGGCTTGGTGATGATGAACTCCTTGAATTTGATCTTCTCTGAGAAGCACTTTATCTGCCCTTCCATTCTAAATGAAAGCTTTGCTGGATAGAGCAATCTTGGTTGTAGGTCTTTGGATTTCATGACTTGGAATACTTCTTTCCAGCCCCTTCTTGCCTGTAAGGTCTCTTTTGAGAAATCAGCTGACAGTCTAATGGAAACTCCTTTGTAGGTGACTGTCCCCTTATCTCTTGCTGCTTCTAGGATTCTCTCCTTCATTTTAATCTTGGCTAATGTAATAATGATGTGCCTTGGTG